CCCTGTAGGTACAACTCCGTACAAAGTTTGTGTTAAATACGTACGTTCAGAATATTCCTTACCTGATTTTCGTTTTCTTTCTCTTGACCTTGACCGTGACCTTGAATAGTGATGTTTTGAGGTTCTAGGAGAAATAGATACGTCTGACTGCTCTTTTTTCTTTTCTCTATCTGGGGATGTCTTTTCCGGGGCTAGTCCGTCTCTTTCTGTATCAGTAGCCTGAAAGTTAAAAATAAGAATCATCAAAACTTGTAACTGCATTTCCAATGTCTCTTGGTTTTAAAAGGGCAAGGGATAAAGACAATTGTGTTTTACCAGAAAAGAAAACCAATACCCAAACACGACTGATTTCCAAGTGGATATATGAGTAGTAAAATAACAGATGTAAAAGACCTAGTTTTTGGCATTTCCAATAAATATTTAAACTATAAAACTTTAGATGTGTGAATTAAATGTGCCTTTTTGCCAGTAATCAAATCGCTGTTCTTTATTAAAAAGCTATCTAGAACAAGCTGTTAAAAGGTTTAAATTACTTAGAACTATAAGATATTAAAAAGCAGCATAGGGAGCATTTTCTAGATTATAAAAGAATAAGTAGAAAATTACCTTACCTGAGAACCTAATTAACCTTCTTTAATGAAAATATCCCCTTGGCACAGAGGTACAGCAAAACATGTTCTGCCTCTCCGTATTTATGCTCTGGGCTATGGAAACATCAAGCCGTTTCCATGTTAAAGCATTTTATAGGCAATATTACAATATAAATTTTATTTTGCAGCGCTAAGGAGTAAACCCAGGGTTTCATGCTTGTTAGGCAAATTCTCTATCACCGAGCTAAATCCCAGCAGTCACAAAACTAAAACAAAAATCATGACACACACATTTCCAGAGAACTCTTTATCCAAGGTTCAATTTCTATTAATTTTCTAGTTTGCAGAAGGCCACCTATCTTCTGCATTCCTAATAGCAACCAGCACAGATGCCCATGAATAAATAAATGCTCAAGATATGAATTTCAGTTCTATCTCCTCACTAAAATTATTTCTGGTTGAAGATGTAGGTCAGTAGTAGAAGCATTTGCTTCAAGTGTGACGTTCTATCTTAAATCACCAGTGCTGAGAAAAAAAATTTCCAACCACCACTAACCCTGTTTTTGAGAACTGTGTGATCCAAATAATCTCACCACAGAATTCCTGCAGAAGGGTGGGAATGAGGCATAACAGTACTCGTGCAAGAACGCTAGAACATTTTAATTAAAAAGAAAAGTACTGCCTGGTGGTGGCGAAACACTTCCATCCAGCACTTCAGAGACAAGAGGTAGGTAGGTGGTGGATCTCTGAGTTCAAGGCCGGTCAGATCCAGAGTTCCAGGACAGCCAGGACCAGAGAAAAACCTTTTCTGGGAGGGGGGCAAAGGACAGGCAAATATGCACAAACAAAAGAGAAATTGATGAACTGATTTAAGCTGGACTAACGGAAGTCACCTTATTTTCAAGGACACACTAAAGCCTGAAAATTCCTTTGAACTGAACTTGATTTTGAGATGACATTTCATAGGCAAGAGAAGCCCTGACATTGAAATTCCTGCTACTGCCATCAAGTCCAACATTTGGTTGAATTCGATAAGAGGCACTAGAAACAAGCAGATCTGAATGAACCATAAGCAGTGGAGTGGCAGGTATCTGACTGGAGCAGGCAAACATTATTTTTCTGCACAATCTTGTACACTTTTCTTTCTTTTTGAGACAAGGTATCTTTATGTAGCCCTGACTGACTTCAAATTCCCTGCCTCTGTTGGAATTAAAGACTTGTGTCACTTTGCCCATTATAATATTTTTTTTTTACATTTAAAAAACTTGGTAAAACAAGCAAAAAATATGAAAGGTTGTGCATCACCCATAAAACCAAAAGCATTTACCAGCTGTTCCTTTCCTCCTAGTGTTTACCAATCTGACTTATGACTTCAGAGGGAAAATAACTAGTCCTCATCAAGAAGAATCATGATTGACCTTTTTCCCTCGGGAAGATTAGTCCAGAAAACAAGTACCAAAATAAAGGAAGTGTACTATTTTACTGGAGTACAAATTTGGGTCAAAACCAATACCAGACTCTGAAAGGGACAGATTTGGGGGCTGGAACCATGGCTCAGCAGTTAAATACACATAATTAGAAGGACAAACTTATAATTGGAGGTCAAATGCATAAATTATGTGCTAAAGTACCATTTGTACCTCAAGAGGAAAAATAACAGAAAGGAAACAACCAGCTACAGGGGAGTTTCTCATTCCAGTATCCCATACTCTCTTTTTCCAAGACCCGAACAACTTCGTGCTGAAAAGGCCTAAGAATCAAGGTCATCTTACTTTACAGCTACTACCCAGAAACATTAGCCTACTCCCACAAAATACTGTAATCCCCCTGCCTTTGCTACCTACTAATAATCATATTGCTCTACTATACCATCAACGATGATCCAAAACATTTTAATCTCAGATTGACCTAAGACACATTATCTAAACTTAAAAAAGTACTTCAGACATAAATCACAGGCATCCCCCCACAAGTTTTGAGATGATGTTCTCGGTTCACAGTTGCTATATGTTCACAGTTGCCCTCAAGAGTTCTCAATATCCTGCCCCCCAGCTGTTAGGATAACAGCCATGTACATCACATTCACTTTTCCTGAGAAACAATATGAGAACCGAGAACTACAGAAATATACAGCATTTAGTCCATTAATGCCTATTTTGCAAAAGGCTTAGAAGCCTGGCAAGAGGAACTTTCATATGCAAAACACACTGCAGAATAAAGCCCATTTCACCATCACACATGTATTAGTAGGCGTGTGACAAAAACACGTATTTTATTTTCCTAAGGATATCTACAATACAACAGACAGAAAGCTCAACTAGCAAAATTCCTCAGCCTTACTTCAGTTTAGCAGAAATCCATACAGACACTGCTTTTAAACTGCCTTCTATTTAGTCACCAGGCCTCTTAGAAAGTCACTCATTTCCTACAATCTACATCTTGAAACGCCCTGATAACTGAAGCACAGCACACAAATCCTTTCCCAGCACAAAGGAAGGTATGCAGCAGACTTCATTCTAGGGCAGTTCTCTGGGGGATTGTTTTTATAGTGGAGGGCACTGCAGAAACCAAATATTTGAATTTATTTCACTTAAAATAACACAAGAAAAACACTACTCTTTACTTGAAATATATTAAGAGGCCTAGACAATTCAAAAGTTATTAGTCCCACAATTTAAAAAAGCTTAACTACCGTTGAAATTCCATAAAAATTATCTGAAATTCAACTAGATATAAAAGGTAGTGAGGCCGGGCGGTGGTGGCGCACGCCTTTAGCGGAGCTCTGTGAGTTCGAGACCAGCCTGGTCTACAAGAGTTAGTTCCAGGACAGGCTCCAAAACTACAGAGAAACCCTGTCTCGAAAAACCAAAAAAAAAAAAAAAAAAAAAAAAAAAGGTAGCTGCAGAAAACTATTTGTACTGTTCTAATTTCAAATATTCCAAGTACCAGGAAGAGCAATCCTTGTCTACAACAAGAAGTTAAAACCTTTCAGTCCGTGAAAGAGAATCCGTACTGCTCAGAAGCGTATTTTCTGTCTGTAAGTAGAAACAAAACAATCACAGGATAGTATGATTCACTAAAAACGGGCATAGTATATCCAGGACAGACAGGCTTCCTGTTCAAAATGGTCACTTAGGTACGGTTTTTAATGTTTTGTTGTTGTTTTCGGTTTTTTGAGACACGGTTTCTCCGTGTTAATAGCCCTGGCTCTCCTGGTACTCGCTCTGGAGACCAGGCTGGTCTCAAACTCAGAGATCCACCCGCCTCTGTCTCCCGAGTGCTGGGACTAAAGGCGTGTGCCACCACCGCCCGGCTTAGGTACGGTTTTTATTTGGGTCAAGAAAGGGGACTCAAAGAAACAAGCCCCGCGGTTCTCAATAGTAACACGAGTCGCTATGAAGCACAAGTATAAGGGAATAAAACTGGATAATTAGACTAGTTTTTACTCTTTAAAACAATCCCAACTCCAACCGAGAAGGTTTCCACCAACAAACACTAAGCAAAATCAGTCCAAGTACCCCATCTCACTAAGGGTTCGCCCAAAAGTATTAGACTGTCTCCTCATACACGGTCCCTTAAACAGACTGCCTTTTTGACCCGATACTTTCGAGAGACGACTTCTGGTCTTTTTTTTTTTTTTCCCCAGTCGCTTTTCTCCAGGAAGCATAAACTCTGAAGCCCGATTAAGGTTCAACACACATCACTTAGTTTGGGGCAACGAGATGAATCCCACAGTTCGGGGGGGCTTCTAAAAACGTGGGGTGAGGGAAGTGATGAGGAAAGTTCTGGAAAAAAGAGCCATTCCCTGCGGCTCCCCACCCCCATCCACCGCCTTACCTCCCCCCTCCCTGCAGCAGGAAGCCATGATGGCGAGCGCAGAAAGCGGCAGCGGCGCCATTTTGTCCACACACAAGCACGGACAACAGCTCCGAGAGCTGGTCACTCTGTGGAAAGGAACAAAAAACCAGCCCCGGCTTCACGCTCGAGTTAGTACCTACCGCCATTGTTTCTGAGTCCCGGCCGCAAAGGCGGCGCCTCTGCTGGACGCGTTCAACAGTACTGGCCGCCCCGAAGCTTCGCCACAGACTAGATCCCTAGCGCGAGAGACCCGGATGGCACAAAAGGGATGAGGCCTGGCGCGGCGCTCAGCTTGCTGGGAGAAAAAGGGGGTGGTGATAAGAGTTTCTATAACAACGCGGTTCGAGATGGTGATTGGTTAGTCTTTCCAAGGGCGTGGCGTAAAGACAACGAAATGGGTGGGGCCAAGATTACTCTGGGGCCTGAATCCTTCGCAGCTGGAATTCAATTTGATCTAGGGTGGGGCGGTTTCCTGTTTCGAGTGTCAAAAAATTTTGGCCTGCTGCAGCCTCCGTAGACGGGATTGGGCGCGGGATTCTCCCGCCAATTTAAAGTAGTGTCATGGAACCTAAAGTGAATTGTAGTGGTTGTGTGAGTCAGGAAGAAGTGTGAAATATTTGAGTATTTTTTAGTGTCTTCAGCTGCAGGTGACAAGGATCAGCCGCGCTGCTGTGGGAAGCGGGAGTCGCGTCAGGTGAAAACAGAAGGGGTTTCAATCCATTTCGGGTCTTTCGCCCTCTAGATGCTGGCGGGATGTTGGAGGTGATTCTAGGTGGCTGGCCCTCCAAGCGTTCGTGATAGCTTCATTGACTGTGTTTTATGTCGTTCATGATATTGATTCATCTGTTTTCCTCCCGCAGTCAATGACGCCAAAAGTCTGTGCTCATTTCCCGTTTGCATAGTTCTCTTCCTAGTATTAAACAGAAAATTGAGTCTTAACGACCTTACCCGTCTCTCACCGCCTAATACTTTTGATGTGGCTCTGTAGCTGCCTAAATTCTCCCGTCTCTGAGCTTTTGCACGCTGTTGCACTCTTTCCAGTGACTGCAATCACTGTTCTCCTTGACCTTACATAGTTGTTTTCCCGTCGTTAACTTCTTTTCCCAAACAAGTACTTTTTTTTTTTTCTTGTCTTGTCGAGGCATGGTTTCTCAGTGAAACAATCCTGACTGTCCTGGAACTCTGTAGAACAGGCTTGCCTCAAATTCACAAGAGAAACTCACGCCACCACTGCCCCGCCAGCATCATTTTTACAAGATAGGTTTTCTCACATCCCAGGCTGGCCTAGAACTCATTTTGTAGTGATTCTGACCTTTCTTTAACCTTGGATCCTCCTGCCTACACCTTTATTTTATTTTTATTTTTATTTATTTTTTGGTTTTTCGAGACAGGGTTTCTCTGGTTTTGGAGCCTGTCCTGGAACTAGCTCTTGTAGACCAGGCTGGTCTCAAACTCACAGAGATCCTGTCTCTGCCTCCCGAGTGCTGGGTGCGCCACCATTGCCCGGCTTACACCTTTATTTTATTGGTAAAGATCAAACCTAAGATCTCTAGCACGTAAACTCAAACTCACACTTTCCCGCTGAGCTATATCCCCAACCTCTCTCATAGGGTTTTTTGTTTGTGTGTGTGTGTTTTGTGTGTGTGTGTGTGTTTTGAGACAGGGTTTCTCTGTGTAGTCCTGGAATTTGCTCTGTTGACCAGGCTGCCTTCATATTCACAGGTCTGCCAGCTTCTGCTTTTAAGTGCTGGGATTAAAGGCATTTGCCATCACTGCCCTGCTCATAAGACTTAAAAAAATTATTATTAATATTACTTTTATAAGTGTATGTGTTTATGTGTACAGGTGCTTGTGGAGTCCATAAAAGGTCATCAGGTGACCTGGAGCTGTAGTTAATAATAAGTTGTCAACCTTTTTTTTTTTTTTTTTTTTTTTTGGTTTTTCGAGACAGGGTTTCTCTGTGGTTTTGGAGCCTGTCCTGGAACTAGCTCTTGTAGACCAGGTTGGTCTCGAACTCAGAGATCCGCCTGCCTCTGTCTCCCAAGTGCTGGGATTAAAGGCTTGCGCCACCACCGCCCGGCCTACAACATCTTTTTTTTAAACATTTATTTATTGTGTATACAATATTCTGTCTGTGTATATGCCTGCAAGCCAGAAGAGGGCACCAGACCCCATTACAGATGGTTGTGAGCCACCATGTAGTTGCTGGGAATTGAACTCAGGACTTTTGGAAGAGCAGGCAATGCTCTTAACCTCTGAGCCATCTCTCCAGCCTTGTTGTCAACCATTTGATGTGAGTGCTGGGTCTGAATTTTGCCATGGAAGAGCTGGAAGCACTTTTAACCGATAAGCCATCTATTCCTTCCCCTCAGATCTTAAAAGTTACCTAGGGACATTTTCTTCTTTAATATTTTGGTCCCACACTGTTCACAGATGATATGAACTGTGTTAATGAGAGTGCTAAAAAGTCTTGCCTGGGTTTCAGGTGTAGGCTTTTTTGTTTTGTTTTGTTTTTTGTTTTTTTTACGGGTTGGTTTCATTATAGGGTTTCCCAGTACCTATAGAGTCAGTCCTGGAACCTGTGCTGTAGACCAGGCTGGCCTTGAACTCCAGCCTCCTGAATGCTAGGATTAAAGGCAGGAGCCACCATCTCCTGGCTCAGGTGTTTGATGATGGTAGAAACCAACTCAGAGGGTATAGCCATGATAGAGCACTTGCCTGCCATGCACCTAGCCTTCCGTCACCCCAATACCATATAAAACCGAAATCAAGCTGTCCCTTTGGTTTTTTGTTTTTGTTTTTGAGACAGGGTTTCACTATGTAACCCTAGCTGTCCTGGAACTCATCATGTAGACCAGGCTAACCTCAGACAGTGATCTCCCTGCCTCTGCCTCCCAAGTATTGGGATTAAAGCTGTGCACCACCACTGTCCAGTTTGAAGTTTTAATATATTGATACTAATTTTTGTTCTTTGATTAACACTTCATTAAAGAACTTAATTCTATGCAAAACTAAAGTGGTTCTTTCCTCTCACAGACAGTCCCAGAAATATGTGGAACAACGTTCAGCTGCTAACAAGCGATGACACCGGGAGTGGACACGTCAATTTTGGTTTAAGAAAAGAAAATGTGACTGCATTATACCAAGTAGACTTGCTTGGGAAGATCTCTTCTGAGAAGGTAATGATTTTATACTGATAGTGGGTCAAGGTTCAGTCAGGAACCACAGCAAATTGGCATCCGCATTCCTCCTGTGTCATCTTAGCAGTGTTTCCTGCACTTCCTAACTCTTTGACATTGCATTGCATGTAAGCTGAATCAACTGTGATGGTTTAAGTCTATAATGCCAGTGTCTAGAGGTTGAGGCAGGTGGGAGGCCAGGCCCGTTAGGGCAATATTAACCAGGCACTGGCAGGGGTTGTATATATACATTTATATGAAGAATCACCTGCTGTCTGCTTAGGAAATAAGACGTTCCCAATCGAATCAAAGACTAGGGGGGCACCCTCCCTAACCCGGATCTGCCCCATTCTCTACCAAGTTAAGCACCCTTGTGACTGGTAGTCCGGTGTTTCTACATTCTCGGCCTATTTACAAAAATATTGAAAATAACTCACCCAGGTTCAGAAATAGCCAAGTGATTTGATTCATAGTATAGGCAATTCTCTATTTTAATTGACAGATTAAGTCATAATTTTTATGCTGCACATATCCTTTCCAATAATTCATCTGACTTTAATCATATGTATGCCCAAATTATGAATAGAAATAAGGTAAATAGGGAATTTTTCCCTACAAATTTCTTGATACAAATTTGCCTTATTGCACATGTACTCAAAACCAGTTGAAGCCAGACCACATTTCTGTGCTTTGCTCTTAACTGCATTGGAAATACATTTGACTAGAAACTATTTAAATTTGATTGTTAAGGGCACAGGCATTTGCTTTACTGTTCAGAAATCGATATGAGTGGTCTGCAGATGCGGTCTGAGGGTGTTTGGAGGTTGTTAGATGCGTTGTTCAGAAGTGTGTGTGTGTGTGTGTGTGCAGTATAAACAGGTAAAAGTGGGCTTGCTGAGTGCTTCACTACACAGAGGGATGTACATAACCCACGCCAAATACAGTCACAGGCTAAATGAACTCTGTGCTTGTCTGACTCACTCTGAAGGTTGGCTGAAGGAAGGTTTATTCCCTTCCTTCCTTCCTTCCTTCCTTCCTTCCTTCCTTCCTTCCTTCCTTCCTTCCTTCCTTCTTAAGGCAGGGTCTTACTATAGCCTAGGCTACATTGCAGATTCCATTTAGCCAATATTTAATAAGCCAGTACTGGTTCTAACCCAATTTTCTTTCTTCCTTTCTTTCTTTCTTTCTTTCTTTCTTTCTTTCTTTCTTTCTTTCTTTCTTTCTTTCTTTTTTTTTAGATTTATTTATTTATTATGTTTATGGTATTCTGTCTACATGTGTGCCTGCAGACCAAAGAGGGCACCAGATTTTATTACAGGTGGTTGTGAACCACCATGTGGTTGCTGGGAATTGAACTCAGGACCTCTGGAAGAACAATCAGTGCTCTTAACCACTGTGCCATCTCTCCAGCCCCCTCAACCTTCTTTATAAGTTAGATGCTGAGGCAGAATTATTTTCACTGGGCTTTCAATGTCTTGTGTTAAGCATATTCTACTTTATATGGATTCTTTTTCATGGAGGGATATATTCTCTAGTTCACAGTTCACCATGGTTCCCATCCCGAATTTAGGCAGGCTTGAGTCATATCTTCCTTTTGATGTCTGGTTCCTATAATTGGATATTAACACTTAGGAGATAAGGAGTTAAACAAGATACCTTTGCTCTTCTGTGTCCTTCTTGGATTATATCCCTACTTAGGATCCTGTATCAGTTTGAGACAGGCCATATAACATACAAATACTTGATGACTAACAAGGCCAACTAAAGAGAAAAGTCTTGTCTGGTTATGTTTTAAAGTAAAGTATATGGTAATACTTTTGTTTGTTTTTTGTTGTTAATTGTTTTCTGAGACAGGGTCTCAGTATGTAGTCTTGTAAGTGCTGGAATTTGATATGTAGGCCAGGCTGGCCTCCAACTCACAGAGATCTTATTGTCTCTGCCTGCCTGAAGGGAGCAGGCAAAAGCATCTTGGTCTAAGTATTGCCATTTTGACTTCAGACTTCTTACCTGTAGGGTGAAACACATTTCAAGTTCTTAGGCCTTAGGGGAGCTGGGAACCTTCCACTAGCTGACCTACCTCCTCCTTCTACACTAGAACCAGTCTGTTATGCCTCATAGTTCTCTAGAACATTATGGCTGTTTCTAACAACAGAAAGAACAAATGATTCTGATTGGTTGGACTGAAAGGCTTGCATTGCTTGTCAATTGACAATGATGGAACACAGTAAGAAATTCCCTAATCTTTGATTTCTGATTGGTGAAAATTGTGGCTGTAACTTGGTAACAAATGTTCATGGTTTTTTGTGCTTATAAACCCCACTTCCGCCCCTTCTCAGTGTGAGGGCTGTTATTCTTTTGCCAAAATATTATTCTTTTAAAGCGGGTGTGTGTGTGGAGACAAACACAGGACAGACAAAACACGCACGAAAGGAGGAGACACAGACACGCGGCTCCCACGTGGGTGCGCTTTAATGGGGGGGGGGAGACACAATAAGGGACAGGTATGCAAGACACACAAGGGTAAAGGGCAAGAGAGTGAGACCTCGTGGAAGCTCGCTTTTTAACGAGAAGCGCAAGGGTATCTTGGAGAAATGTCCTGCACCTGTGCGTGCCAGTGCGCGCAGGTGTCCGTAATCCAGGAGGAATCTGGAGCTGTAGTTTCCAAAAGGAACAACAAGGGCCAGCCATGATACTCTAAGTCTGGGCAGGTCACCCTCCAACCATTATTACTTGGGACTCTGGCCATCAGTGAATTTCAGTGGAGGCTGGAGTCTCAGTTGTTTACCCTGGGCGCTGTGATTAAAGGTGTGAACCACCACCTCCCAGCTCAATCAGGGGTCTTAAAACCTCAGAAACCCCTCACCTCCACGTTTACTACTCCGGTTGTTGGACACGCCGAGAGACCCAGAGTTTGCAAACTTGATTAAAATAAAGGCCCTTTGCTTTTACATACAGGACTCTTGGTTTCCTTGTCTGCTTGTGGGGGGCGGGGTTCTGGATTTGGGCATAGCCCTCAGGGCTGTCAGGAAGCTGTCAGGAGGCTCCCAAGTCCTTGTCCTCAGCCCTGATCAATCAGCGACCTGCTTATGTGGTTATTTATTTTTTATTTACTTATTTTTTTTTCTTTTTCTTTTTTGGATTTTTGAGACAGGATTTCTCTGTAGCTTTTTGGTTCCTGTCCTGGAACTAGCTCTTGTAGACCAGGCTGGCCTCGAACTCACAGAGATCCACCTGCCTCTGCCTCCCGAGTGCTGGGATTAAAGGCGTGCGCCACCACCGCCCGGCTTAAGTGGTTATTTATTAAGCCTTTTTTTAAATTGATTTTTATTGAGTTCTACATTTTTCTCTGCTCCCCTCCCTGCTTCTCCCCTTTCCCTTTCAACCTTCCCCCAAGGTCCCCATGCTCCCAATTTACTCAGGAGATCTTGTCTTTTTCCATTTTTACTTCCCATGTAGATTAGATCTATGTAAGTTTATGTGTCCTCATTGTTGTCTAAGTTCTCTGGGATTGTGGTTTATAGGCTGGTTTTCTTTGCTTTATGTTTAAAAACCACCTATGAGTGAATACATGTGATAATTGTCTTTCTCTGTCTGGGTTACCTCACTCAAAATAATGTTTTATTTATGAAGACTTTGGAACCTTAAGTGTTGTCTCTTTCCTTCCTCATGGCACATCATGGGCTAGGTGAAATCTAAAAAATAAAAAAAGGTGTGTGCCACCACACCTGGCTCTATGACAGTATTATTAAGTAGTATGAAGTTGCTGGGTGGTGGTGGCAGACGAGCCAGGCAGTAGTGGTGCATGCCTTTAATCCCAGCACAGGGAGAGACCTTTAGGTCTCTGTGAGTTCAAGGCCAGCCTGTCCTACAGAACAAGTTCTAGGACAGGCTCCAAAGCTACAGAGAAACCCTGTCTCAAAAACACCAAAAAAAAAAAAACCTTATATGAAATTATTTTATTTTTGATTATATATTATATTTTCTCCTCCTACAGGCCTCATCTAGTCCAAAAATACAAGCATGCAGCTTAAGTGATGGATTTATAATTGTGGTAGACCAGACAGTGATATTGCTTGACAACATATGCAGATCAGTTCAGTTGCATCTTATTTTTGGTAAGTCTGACAGTGAAATGGCTGAGAGTCAGCGTGTATTGCACTGATTTCTAATGATCCTTTAATCCTCTGTTACAAGAATTAAAATTAGAAAACAAAATAAAGCAAAATGCTTATAACTTTGAAAATGCTTAGCTGAGGCATGGTGGCACACACCTTTAATCCCAGCACTCAGGAGTCAGAGGCGGGCGGATCTCTGTGAGTTTGAGGCCAGCCTGGTCTACAAGAGCTAGTTCCAGGACAGGCTCCAAAGCTACAGAGAAACCCTGTCTCAAAAAACCAAAATAAATAAATAAAATTAGAGGACTTTCAAGAAAATCAGTACCTGTGGGGCTTCAGTTTCAAAGGGAGCTGACATCATGCTTTGCTTCAGAGTGTCTAAGACATGTGAGCAAGTATTTCATTTCTTGTTTATTTATTTATTTATTTTTTAAAAAAATTTTATCTATTACGTATACAATATTCTGTCTGTATGCCTGAAGGCCAGAAGAGGGCGCCAGACCTCCTTACAGATGGTTGTGAGCCACCATGTGGTTGCTGGGAATTGAACTCAGGACCTTTGGAAGAGCAGGCAATGCTCTTAACCACTGAGCCATCTCTCCAGCCCTCTTGTTTATTTTTATGGTATTTATTCCTCTTGTTTTTGTTTTGGTTTCTTGAGACAGGGTTTCTCTGTAGCTTTGGAGCCCGTCCTGGAACTAGCTCTTGTAGACCAGGCTGCCCTCCATCTCACAGAGATCCACCTTTCTCTGGGATTAAAGGAGTGTGCCACTGCTGCCCGGTTGTTCCTCTTGGTTTTATATTTGAATCCTAATGTTTGAGCCATTTGTGTTCAAATTCTTAATCCTGTATGTTTTAGGTTTGTGCAGGTGAAGGAGGTGGGTTGCCATGTTCATTACTTCTAGGATATATCACACTATAATAATCTTTTCGAAGCCTGGAGGTCGTGGCGCATATCCTAGCACTCAGAGAGACTGAGGCAGGCGGATCTCTGAGTTCTAGGTCAGCCTGGTCTACAGAGTGAGTTCCAGAACAGCTAGAGATATGCAGAGAAATCCTGTCTCTAAGTCAAAATAATAATAAATAATAATCTTTTAGAATACATATGTGAAATAATTTCTTGAGTTAAAGTACTGGTGAACGTAGATTTGATAATAAATTAAGTTGAGGTGTGAATTTGTAATCCCAGCACTTTGGAGGCTGAGCCTGGAGAAATGGGAGTTAGAAGCCAACCTACACTACATTCCAAGTTCCAAACTCAGCCTAGGCTGTGCCCTAATGTCCTATCTTTCAAAAAAGCTTAAAAGAACTCCCCAACTCTTTTCAGCTTTAAGCACACTAGCTGCTCTTGGAGAAGACCTGGGTTTGGTTCCCGTTATCTATATGGGGGCTCATAATCTCAGTTACAGTGATCTGATGCCCTCCTCTTTTGGCCCCCACAGTCCCAGACATAACATTCAGGCGAAACACACATAAAATAAAAATAAATACAGCTTTTAAAATAGAGTTTTTTTCTTGTTGTTGTTGTTGAGTCAGGGTTTCACTGTGTAGCCCTGGCTGTTCTGGAAATTGCTCTATAAACCAGGTTTACCTTGAACTCACCTGTCTCTGCCTCCTGGGATTAAAGGCATGCACCAACATGCTGGGACTCAAGGGTAACACTTTAAATATAAAGTATTGAATAATTTTAAAGACTTAAAAATGACTTATGTGATTATGGTACAATTATTTTGGAAAGATTTTTTTTCTATCTTACTTTTTTGTTGTTGTGCTTTCGTTTTTATTTTTGTCTTTTACTCACTCAGTTTGTTTTTTAACCCTCTGTCTTTAAACTTGTCATCTTCCCGCACTGAGGAGGTGGAGGCAGGTCAGTCTGAGTCAAGGGCAGCCTGGTTTACAGGGCAACTAAGTTCCAGGACTGCCAGAGTTATATAGAGAAACCCTGCCAATCTCCCTTTCTCGGCCTCTCATATGTTGGGATTGTAGGCATGCATCACCATATTTGGCATAGATTGGTATAAATCATTGATCTTTTGATGTAAAATTGGTGTTTTCTAAACTGAAATTAAGGATTATTGAAAGTTGCTTGTAACATTGATTTGTAATTTTCAGATACTGACGTGGATGTGGTTGGCCTGTGTCAAGAAGGAAAGTTTCTTTTGGTCGGGGAGAGAAGTGGTCTTTTACATCTTATTTATGTAACATCAAAACAAACATTATTCACCAAAGTAAGAGCTATGTTTTCTATTTTCACCCCAACACTGTCTTACATAATAAACTCTAGCGAGCTGTTACTTAACTACATTTTAAAGTAAAAAAAAATTCTAATTCTTAAATTTAAATTTAAATTCTGATTCTTAAGAATCAGACTGCAGGGCTGGACAGATGGCTCAGAGGTTAAGAGCCCTGACTGCTCTTCCAGAGGTCCAGAGTTCAATTCCCAGCAACTACATGGTGGCTCACAACCATCTGTAATGAGATCTGGTGCCCTCTTCTGGCCTAAAGGCATACATGCAAGGAGAACCCTGTATACATAATAAATAAGTCTTTAAAAAAAAAAGAATCAGACTGCAGAAGCATACAAGGGAAACACAAAAGTAAAAAACAAAGCTCTACAGACCTGGAGCATGCTCATCCAGTCTCCCTTTTCAAGCTGAAGCATTAGAGAATAATTTCAAGCATTAGGTTGTTAGTGCTAATGTTAGTTGATGAGTAGGGTTTAAACAGTGTACCCTTCGTTGCTTATTTATCTCACTTAACTCTTGCTATTTGAAATTCGTTTGCAATTAGGCTTTTGTCGAGAAAGCCAATGATGAATATCAGCATACTTACCAGAATCTTATTATTGAGAAAGATGGTTCAAGTGAAGGTAAGTTTCTTTGAATTTTTTTTGCATGTTTTTTGGTGGATACCCCATCAAGTATTTACCTTTATGTTAAATAAACATTGTAAGTTTATTGCTGCACTACCTAAATCTCGGTACATTTTCTGTCAATACAATTAACATAAGAAAGAATTTTTGTTTTGTTTTTGAAACAGGGTCTTCCTATGTAGTCCTGGCTGGCCTGGAACTCGCTTTGTAGACCAGGCTGCCTGCAGACTCATAGCGATCCACTTGCTTCTGCCTTCTGTGGGGATTAAAGATTTGTAATATCATACCCAGCAGAGTTTTTTCTTTTTTGAGCAGAGTGAATGTAGATTTATTAAGGAAAAGTAAGAGAGAACTTCTGAGACTAGGAGGCTCTTTTCTAGGTAGGAATGCTCTCAGAAAAATGTTCTTAACATTTTTCGTGCAAGTACAAAGTTTTACATTCCTTTAAAATATCTGTGTGGGTATGCATGTAAAAACTTTTTGTTTGTTTGTTTGTTTGTTTGTTTGTTTGAGACAGTTTCTCTGTGGTCCTGGCAAACAAGCTGGCCTTGTACAATCAAACACAGAGATTTCCCTGCCTCTACCTCTCAAAGGCTGGGATTAAAGGTGTGTGCCACCACCTTAATCATTTTTTTTAACTGCAAATTTATGTGTGTGTGTGTGTGTATCTGTGTGTGTGTGTGTGTTTGTGTGTGCGCGCCCAGGGCCAAATTCCTGCTCACTCTTGGAGGTCAGAGGATAACTTGTGGTACTTGGTTCTCTTTTTACCATGTGGGCCTGAGGCGTGAACTCAGGTTATTAAGCTTGGCACTAAGTATCTTTACCTGTTGAGATATCTCGCCAGCCCTAGGAGACAGATTTTTAGAGCTAGTTCCCAGTATTGCTTTGAATCATGCCTTTTAGAGAAACTAATTTTGATTTTATTTTGCCAGGTACCTATTACATGTTGCTTCTAACGAACAATGGACTTTTTTATATTACAAACCTCCAGCTTTCACAAATTGAACAGGGTAATGTATTTTCTTATTGATTTTTGATTAGTTTTTAAGTAATTCTTCAAATATTTTCTTGAATAATGTTTAAATTGAGTTGCATCCTGTGATACTGGGTATACTTTGAGTATTCAGAGTACACGTAACTCCTCTGCTAAAGCTGTGGTGGAATGTGAAGAACTGTTTTTGATTACAGCCTTCTAGCAGTTAACTTAATTGGGAAGAAAAGACATACACAGAAATAAGTGGCTTTTTGTAATACTGAAGATCGGGCCCAGGGTTTTGTGTATACTAGACAAATGCTCTACCTCTGAACTGTTTATCTCAGCTGCTAAGTGCCTTCTTGAAGGAGTGAATGAACCAAGTGATGGAAATGACTGACTTAAAATTGCAAAGTGAGCTGGTGAGAAGGCTCAGTAGGTAAGAGCACTTGCTTTGCAAGCATGAAGAGCTGGATGCAAATTCCATCCCCTGTGAAAAGCTGGCACGGCTACGCCTCTGCCTCTGCCTCTAACTCCGCACTAGAGTGGGACGTGGATGTAGGTGGATCCTCAGTCTGTGCAAGCCAGCCAGCACAGCTGAAACAGAGATAGACTCTGTATCATGGTAATAAGACAGAGAACAAGGCCAGACAGTGGTGACACACATCTTTAATCCCAGCACTCAGGAGGCAGAGGCAGGCAGATCTTTGTGAGTTCGGGGCCAGCCTGGTCTACAGAGCAAGTTCCAGCATAGGCTCCAAGGCTACAGAGAAACCCTGTCTCGAAAAACCAAAAAAGAATACGGTCAGGCGCTGGAGAGATGGCCCAGTGGTTAAGAACATTGTCTGATCTTCCAGAGAACCTGGATTCAATTCCCAGCACCTACATGGCAGCTCACAACTGTCTGTGACTCCAGTTCCAGAGGATCCAACACTCTCACACAGATATATATGAAGGCAAAAACACCAATGCATATAAAATAAACTTTAAATAGGGGGGAAAAAGAATATGATCAGAGTTTTTCCTATTGGTTTGCCTTGTCCAGCTTTGATGAGGGTATGTGCCTAGCCTTATTGTAATTGGTTGTGTTGTGTTTGGTTGATACCCTCTGGGAATCAATCCTGATCTTTTCTGAAGGGAAAGGGAGGAGGAGTGGATCTGGGAGAAAGGGAGGTGTGGGGGAGGAACAGGGAAAGAGGGAGGGGAAACTGTGGTCAGGATACAAGAGAAGAATAAATAGAGAAATGGGAGGCTGGGAGGAGGCGGAAACTTTTTTTTTTTCTCAATAAAAAATTAAAAAAAAAAAAGAATAAATAGAGATGGTAGCTAGACAGACAGACAGACAGAGTGTGTGTGGTCAGGAGCCAGGAAGAATGTCTCATGCTGTAATCTAATACTTGGCAGAGGCAGAAGGACAGCTGGGCATTTAAATGAGTATCATCAGGAATGAAGTAAAGAGCCATACACCAAAGGAAACGCAGCAAAAACTGATCAGAAAATATGAGAGAGAACTAGAATTTACTGCATAGATTTCCAAATGGATTATCTATTCAACATAACTTACACCCAAGAATTATGATCTGTGTCTTGTTTATTTCCCCATGTTATTTGTATGCAACATTATATTTAGATATGTTCTTTGTATCCCTGACAGAGAGCTAAACCATAGAGGTAGACACCCAAAGTAGTATTCTGCCCTCCCCATGTGCACGCACGGGTGCATGTGCTCCTACACTGTTATGCATATACCGCACACAACAAGCACACAAAATAACTGACAGTAGTAATCAGTAGTAATCCAATGTCTCGCTGAGCCAGGTAAAACTGAGGAATTTGTTTTGATAAACTTTATTAACATCTACTGCAGACTAAATGGCATGGTAGGTTCCGAGTATACAATTAGGTTATAAAATGCATCATTTTCGATGGGGGTGGTGGCTCCTATCTTTAATCCCAGTCCTGAGAGGCAGGAGGATCTCTGAGTTCTAAGCCATGCTAGTCTACATAGTTCCAGGACAACCTGAACCACACAGAGATCTTGTCTCAATCAGAAAAACATTTAAGATAAATCATTTTTTATAGTTAATTCAAGATCAAGACAGGTAAAAGAGATGCTCTAGGTCAGAGTGGGAAATGGTGAATACTTTCCCATGAGACTCGGGCTTGAGTAGGCGTGGGGTTGGTATAGGATCACTTGAGAAGGCTCTATGCAGTTAGCTTGGCCGATCCCTTGAGTATAATATGCGCTTTCAGAGAATTTCCTTGGTCAAAGACTTTAATTTACTGGTACTGACCTATGTCCTTTGGCTTAGCATGCATTAGTTTCACTTAAAGACAAAAGGAGTCGTCTTGTTTTTAGTATATATGAACCTGTACAGGTATTAATACTATGCTTAGATGACTTTTTTTTTTTTCCAAACAAATGAAGCGATTGAAAACACAGACTTGGATTTGGCCAAGAAGGTAAGAACAGAAAATTATAATTGTTTTTTAAAGCTTTTACTCACTGTGAAAGTAGAGGCTGTTTCTGAGAGGCTGTTTCTGTGATTAGTTGTTGTACTGGATGCTGCTTTAGGAGATGTAATGTTTCTGTTGAAAAACAGATGATTGATTTGAGCAAATGTCTATGATTTTTACTTGACATACATATGTACATGTATTCTAATTTTTTTTTAAATTTTGCAGTTGCAAGGACAATTCAAGTGTAGTTTTATTTCTACTGAAAATTACCACAGTCTTGGTTGTCTTAATCTTGTGGCTGGAGAGTTTGCAAATGAGACTGCTGTGATAATTGGGGTAATTCTCTTTATGAACTTTGCTTTTGCATAAAATGCTCTTTGTAGTAAAGTACAAATTAATTTGCAATGTGACAAGAACAGAGAAATCAGGGCTAGAGGCTCTTGAGGAAGACCGGAGGTTGATTCCTAGCTCCTACATTGTAAGGCTCACAAATGCCTGTAACTTAGTTCCAAGAGTTCTCACCCTCTTATGGCCTTGGGTACCTGTGCATACACACAGAAATCCTAAGTAAAAATAAGTAAATAAATCTTTATCAAAAGAAATAAGCCAGGCATGGTGGAACACAACTTTAATCCCATCACCGTTTCTCCACAAAATGGGAGGAGGGTTGTTATGGTTGTAAAATTAGCTAAATAAAATTCCTATATTAGATCATCGGGTATTGATTTTTCCCTAGTCTCTCCCTGAGATTTTCTTTCCTTTTTTTGGGTCAGGGTCTCACTCTGCAGCCCTGGCTGGCTTAGAACTCACTAAAAAAACTAGGCTGGCCTTGAACTTAGAGATCCACCAACCCTTTGCCTCTCTGGTGCTGGGTCTAAGGTGAGCACCACTTTGCAAGCAGTTTTGTTTTGATCAGACAAGGTATTGTTCCCCCAGCATGTGTCAACATTTCTTTCAGCATATAAACAGAGTCAAAGGCTCCACAGGGAGAGCAGCACCCATGACTGCATCACTGAGTGTTAATCTCAGATTCAAATCTGACGTTTTAGCCCCCTTCTCTCTTTGTATTGGGCCGCTTCATAAATTTGCTTGCCATCCTTGGACAGGAGCCATGCTAACCTGTGTAAATGTGCTGCCAAAGCAAGCGCATACACTGGATGTGCTCCTATAAAACTCTTAAAATACTATTCAAGGATTACTGTTTTATTTTTGTTTTGTTTTGTTTTTTTTTTTTGAGACAAGGTTTCTCTGTGTAGCTTTGGTGCTTGTCCTGGGATTAAAGGCTTGTGCCACCATGCCTGGCGTATTGTTGTTTTAAAATTGGTTGACCCACGAAAGATCTGTCAGGAGATTCTCCTGACTCCGCCTTCCAGCACTGGGATTGAAGGCATGCACAACTAGGACCAACTTTTTTTTTCCAAGGCAGGGTTTCTCTGTGTAGCCCTGACTATCCTGGAGCATGTTCTGTAGACCAGGCTGGTTTCGAAATCAGAGATTTGCCTGCCTCTGCCTCCTGAGAGTGCTGGGATTAAAAGTGTGTGCCACTGCTGCCTAACTTTCCATCTTCCTTCCTTCCTTCCTTCCTTCCTTCCTTCCTTCCTTCCTTCCTTCCTTCCTTCCTTCCTTCCTTCCTTCCTTTCTTCTTTCCTTTCTTCCTTTCTTCCTTCCTTCCTTCCTTCCTTCTTTCCTTTCTTNCTTCCTTTCTTCCTTCCTTCCTTCCTTCCTTCTTTCCTTTCTTCCTTTCTTCCTTTCTTCCTTTCTTCCTTTCTTCCTTCCTTCCTTCCTTCCTTCCTTCTTTCCTTTCTTCCTTTCTTCCTTCCTTTCTTCTTTCCTTTCTAGACAAAGTCTATACTTATAATGTCGGAATAGGTTTTTTCCCTTTGGGGTGAAATGTTTGAATATGTATACTCAAATATTCAAGTGATAACAATAAATATGAACATCTCACTGTTCTCAGTCTGTTCTAATTTTATTTTTTTATATGTGTATGTCATGTGAGTTTGGGTGCCAGCCAAATTCCTAGGAGGGTGTCAGATCCCTTGGAGTTGAGGTACAGGCAATTGTGGACCATTGTTAGTGGATGCTGGCAAATGAACTTGGGTCCTCTGGAAGAACAGCAAGCTCTCATAACCACTGAGCATCTCTTCAGTCTGTTCTTGAGCTAAGAGAGAAATCCAGATAAAAGCTCCTTGGAGCTGGGTTTTAGCCTGTGCCTGCAAACCTAGCCTACAGACCTGTCTGGTTAGGAGGTTTAGACAGGAGAATCTTGAGTTTGAGGCAACTTAGCAAGACACTGCCTGAAATAAAAATGGCTAGGGATATAGCATAGTAGAGAGGCTTGCTTAGCTTTGATTAAACCCCTGGAGGCTCGCGCTCTAGTATTCCCCACCTCCCACCCCCACAGCCACATACACACATGTACTTGAACTCAGAATGTGTGCAGCTCATGTGCATCTGCTTTGTGCAATTCTTAGAGCTTCGGGGTTAGGATTTCCAGCTGATGTACTGTTTTCTCTTTCCCAGGGAACTGGTAGCTGTGCATTCTCAAAATGGGAACCAGATTCTACCAAGAAAGAAATGTCCCTTAAGAACTTTGTGGACACAGAGATTATTAAAGGTAAAGATAAGCCACTGACATTACTTTCTGTTGCCACACTTAGATGTGTTTAGGCTGGACTCATATTTGCTTTGTAGCTGAGGCTGACCTTAAACTTCTGATCCTCCATCCTTCACTCTTAGATACTAGGAGTATATGCCTGCACTGCCATACATAATGTATGTGCTGCTGGAGATTGAATGGTGTGTGTGTGTGTGTTCTAGGGCTGGATCACAGTCGTCAGACTTGGTGCTGTAGCCTTTCCCTGCTGACCATTTTTACTTTGTTTTTCTTCATTACATGTGTTTAGTTTGTACATTATGTGTACAAATTTGATTACTTTAATGTATGTGTGGAGATCAGAGGAAAACTGGTTGTCAGTTCTCTCCTTTCACCTTGTGGGTCCTTGGGATTGAACTCAGGTTTGCAGGCTTGGCAAGTGCTTTTATGCATTGAGCCATCTTTCCCACCATTTTGTTATTGTCACAGTGAACCGAGCCTGATTAGCTTGGTGATTCTCCGCGCATTCCTGAAGAATTCCAATTGTTACCTTTGAAGAGACTTTGTGTTTTATTGGTCGCCTTGAAACAAAAGTAATAAGAACAAAAGCCAAAACTGAGGCAACAATAGATGAAAATGGGAACTTCATTTAAATGTAGTTCTGTCTATTTGTGAAGACAGTAGTTAGCTTACAGCTCAAACAGGGTCCTAGTGAAATAAAATCCTTAGACATGTCCCTTTCTCTTTCAGGTGTAAAGTCCTTTCAGCTGATCGACAACCTGCTTTTTGTGCTCGATACTGCTGTATGTTTCTGATACTTATTCAGTGTTTTCATTCACTATGACCACTTTTTGTTGTCAGCGTCTTTACACTAGGGAGTCAGCTCACAGCCTCATTGATGCCATGCAAGTGTTCGCCCCTGAGCTCCATCTTGCACCCTGATAATATGTCTCTTAATAAAAATGTTCAACAAGGATGTTAGTTGGGGTGGATTCCTGTGTGTGTGCAGTGCTTCAAGAGCTATAGTACAGTTTGACTTTGAGATGTAAAGATGTCTAACCGAGTTCTACTTTTCTAGAACGTGCTAAGCTTGTGGGACGCTTACACTTTCACTCCTGTGTGGAACTGGCCCTCTCTTCCCATAGAGCAGTTTCTTCTCACCACAGAAGCGGATTCTCCCTCGTCAGTCACCTGGTATGTTGGGACTGGCTAGTAGTGGTTTTCGTAGCACCAGGTTTCCTGTCCAGCTCTATTCAGATCATTTATTAGGATTTGTGTTTGGAAACACATCCGAAATAGTCTGGGAGAGGAAGGACCAATTCATTATCTGCTGGTTCCTATTTGGTACAGATAGATAATATGTTTCTACATAATTATGGTAGAACAGGATCTGTCAAAACAGAATCCACAGTCTCTGATTAACCTTTCTGTGAGATTATCACTTTACCTTAGCTTATGCTTAGCAAACTGCCAAGCTTGCATAACTTTGATTTTTCTTCTCTTTTAGGCAAGGGATTGCAAACCTCAAATTAGTCACTCTGACGACTACAACTAAGGAGAAGGTACTGGGAGACTCTACTTCATACCTGTCTAGTTTATGAATTGGAAATCACAATTACTAGCCAGTTTTGGTGGCTCAGATTTGTATTCCCAACTGCTCTGCAGACTGAGGTGGCATGGTCACAACTGAAAGTCTACCTGCATTGCAGAGAGAAAATGTCAAGTAATGCCCACAGCGTACTAAATTGGCATGCACATAGACTTTGTCAGACTAGAAATAAACCTGCAGAACAGAGTTCTATTTTTCAAAGAGTGTATGAAAATCTTGGCTCTTAATTTCAAACAATATTTTAGGAATCAAAAATATTGAACTTACTTGAGCTCAGTGTGTTATCTCCCACCAGTAGCTGTAGGATTCTGGAGGCTGAGACAGCAAGATCATGTGTTCAAGGCTAGTCTGGGATAACCCAAGCAAGTCCCTATGTCAAAAGTCAAGGGCTGTAAATGAAAGAGTAGCTGCCTAGTGTAGGCAAGGCACTGAGTTTAGTCTCTAAACCTGAAAGAGAACAAATGGGATGGCAGAGAGGGGGAGGAGAAAAGGGGACAGAAGAGAAAGCATTTGGTGAGATGGCTGTTGAGACAGTGTAGCACTGCAGAATTAACTCTAGGGCTTTATGTGCCTGATTCCATTCAGCAGATGGGGAGATGGGCTAGAGCACTGTTTTCTTTCCGTTTCTTAAAGAACACAGTTTGTGTGTAGCATTTAAATTATGACAATGGCAGATCTACTTAAGTAGTAAGAGAAGGTTGTGGTTTGTGTTTAGCTCTGTACAGGATGCTTTAGTAGCTCTCCTGACAGGGGTGGGCTGACTTGTGCTGATAGGTTTGCATTAACTCCCTGAACTGTCTGCATTTCTCGTAGATGAGAAACCTCATCATTTATTCTTTGCCTACGATGGAAATACTGTACTCTTTGGAAGTATCTAGTGTTTCTTCTTTAGTTCAAACAGGAATTAGCACGGTATGTCTATGCACATTTTAAATTGCTTTACTATAATTTTCGTTATTAATTTTTATGAGTAAGAAAAGCATGAGTGGGGGGCTGGAGAGATGGCTCTGTGGTTAAGAGTTCTGACTGCTCTTCCAGAGGACCCAGGTTCAATTCCTACCACCCACATGGCAGTCAACAGCTGTCGGTAACTCCAAGATCTGACACCCTCAGATAGACATACATGCAGGCAAAACACCAATGCAAATAAAATAAAAATAAATAAATTATTAGGAAAATATATATATATAAAANCAATTCCCAGCAACCACATGGTGGCTCACAACCATCTGTAATGAGGTCTGGTGCCCTCTTCTGGCCTTCAGGCATACACACAGACAGAATATTGTATACATAATAAATAAATAAATATTAAAAAAAAGAAAAAAGCATGAGTGGAACTGAGTTCAATACCTGGTCTGGTCTCTGGTTTTTACTTACGTTCATAATGACAGCTACTCTGAGTCCCAACTCAATCTTCACAAAAATTAAGATCAAACTCCCATTCACCTGCTATTCTGCTTTCCCAGCACTTGGGAGGCAGAGACAGGCAGATCTCTGTGAGTTCGAAACCAGTCTGGTCTATGTGGGCTAATTCTAGGACAGGTTCCAAAACTACAGAGAAGCCCTGTCTTGAAAAACAACAACAAAACAAAACCAAAAAAAAAAAAAAGTATTTGTACTCTTTTTAATTGTGTGTCTGTGGGTGAGTATGTGCATGAGTAGTGTCAGATCGCCAGGCACAGAGTTACAGGCAGTTGTGAGCCCTGGGTGTAAGTCCTCTGCAAGAGCAGTACACTCTCCATCTCTGAGCTGTCTCTAGTCCTTCTTCAACTTTTCATGTTCTTCTTATCTTGCCAGAACCATTGATGAGTTTTCACAGCAGTAGTGGGTTTACTTGTTATTTTAATTCTGAAAGTTTGTGGAGTGGAGTGTGCCAAGTCGGTACACTTACAAAGTCTATAAAGATGAAATCAGGGCTGGGTGGTGGTGGCACACACCTTTAATTCCAGTGCTTGGGAGGCAGAGGCAGGTGATTCTCTGTGAGTTCGAGGCCAGCCTGGTCTATAAGAGTTAGTTACAGGACAGGCACCAAAGCTATACAGAGAAACCCTGTCTTGATTTAAAAAAAAAATCAAATCAGGATAGTGAACTTATGATTTCCTTTTACCTTAAAAATTATGAATATGTAACAATCATGCAATGTGTATAGTATTTATATATATATTAATATTTATTTATTATGTATTCAATAGTCTATATGCATGTATGTCTGCAGGCCAGAAGAGGGCACCAGACCTCATTACAGGTGGTTGTGAGCTATCACATGGTTGCTGGGGATTGAACTCAGGACCTCTGGAAGAGCAGCCAGTGCTCTTAACCTCTGAGCCATCTCTCCAGCCCTGTTTTTATTTTTTGATATAATGTCTCTCTGTATAGCCCTAGCTGTCCTAAAATTTTATATGTAGACCAGACTAGCTTGGAACTCACAAAGATTCACCTGCCTTTGCCTCCTGGGTGCTGGGATTAAAGTTGTGTGAGCCAAACTCATTTATTGTGATACTTTTCAAAAGACATTTTAGTATATTTATTGCATCTCTTTTTATATAGACATATACACAAATATGCTATATTTTCTCATACATTTTGGAACTTGTATACTTTTTGACCTTTCTCTTCTAAGTTCTTTAATATCTTTTAAGAATAAAGCTATAGGATTGGAGAGATAGCTCAGAGATTAAGAGCACTAGGTTCTCTTTCAGAGGACCCATGTTTGATTCCCAGCACCCAAATAAATAACATTATTCTTGGGGCCTGGAAAGATGAGATGTCCCAGTGATTGAGCATGCATGCTGCTCTTGTAGAGGACCTGAATTTGGTTTCCAGCACTCACATTTTAGCTCATTATCACCTGTAACTCCAAGTCCAGATTATACAACACCATCTTTTGATGTTCAGGCCCATGCATCTATATGGTGCACATACACACATTCAAACACATATAAAATAAGATAAAATGTAGATTTTTTTAAAATGTAGAGAAAAAAGAATAAGGCTATTTTTAAGGCTTGTATGATAGTTTAGTGGTGAAGTTGCTTGTCGCCACATCTGATAACCTGAGTCTGGTGCCCACATGATGAAGGAAAGAATCGACACCTGTGTCCTCTGACCTCCACTTATGGTTAAGATACTATATATATCTTGCACTGTAGCATGCATTACAGGCACATTCTAAATAAATACATGGAAAAGATAAGAATAAGACAGTTCTGCAGAGTGTGGTTGTACAGGCCTGTCGACATTCACAAACTGGGCATTGCATATCTGGACACTTTGAAACAGGAGGTTCAAACATTCAAGGTCATTCTGAGTTACACAGTGAATTCCAAGCCATTCTGGGTTAGATATGACCCTGACCCAAACATTCTAATACATTGAGGTTGTTGTGCTAGGAAATGTAACATTAATACAAAATTATGAGGAGACAAACTTTTGAAACTAGTATTTTACCAATTACTCTAGAGCTTTCACTACTTATTCATTTTGTGTGGGGGCAGTGCCCCTTTGGAGGTGAGAGGACAACTTGTGGAAGTCCATTCTCTGCTTAGTGTGGATTCTGGGAATCTAACACAGGTCCACTGAGCCATCTTGCCAGCCCCTGGAGGCTGTCTGGAACTCCTTTTCTCCTTATCTAGGATCTAATTCAAGCTCAGGTCTTGAATTTGGTTATCACTTGCAGGAAGTGATTCCCTAGAGTGATTCCCTAGCCCTTTCTGTCTTGTGCGATACTGACAGTTTTTAAGTCCCAGCCTGTTGTAACATTTGCCTCTAGATTTGTCTGTTTGCTTCATTTTGATTTGATTTTTATAAGATCTTTTGGCAAAATGCTACACAGATCACATGTCTCAATGCAGCAAGTCGAGGTCCTTATCCTACATGTTAGGCCTTGTCCCTTGCTGAAGACAGCCCCTCCAGGTCTCCTCCTGTGAGCAGCCCTTCCTGTTACCATTAGTCCTTGTATGTGGCATGGCTTCCAGACCAGGAGGAAATCTTTTTCCCTGGTTTTTCCCCAGTGATATTAAGAATCCACGGATGTATAATTCTTGCCTGAACCATTTGTTTATTCTAATAAAGTTCCTGGTTGTCTTTACATTGTAATTTTAATCATTTTGGTATTTTACTTTTTTTTAATTGTAGGATACTATATATCTTCTGGAAGGAATTTACAAGAACGACTTTAAGTAGGTCATGCTCTGTTTATCAGATAATCATTACATAGCAGCAGAATTAGAATTTACTTGTGAATGCTGGGTGGCAGTGGCACTCACAATGCAATGTGTTTCTTTCAGCCTGTCTGAAGACTCCGTCTCTGATTTAGTACTTAGGTACCTTACAGAGGTATTACCAGAAAACAGGTAACTTCTCATTTTTTTTTAAAGCCTTATTCGTCCTTTAATGAGAAAATTAAACTCCCTAATGGATAGGCATCTGGTGAAATTTCTTCCAACTCTTCAGACTGAGCCGATTACTTCACAAGCACCAATTTGCTGAAGCTGAGAGCTTTGCCATCCAGTTTGGACTGGATGTTGAGGTAAGCATTCATTTGTTCAGTTGTTCTTGGGCAGACATTTCTTGGTACTAGAGGCTCAGGAGATGCAGAAGGGTCTTATTTGAATTATTTAAAACAAGGTTGGAGAGATGGCTCAGTGGTTAAGAGTACTGGTTCTTGCAGAGGACCAGGATTCAATTCCCAGTATCCATACAGTGACTAACAACTGACTGTAACTCCAGTTATAGGGGATCTGAGTGGGCTGGGGTGGTGGGCGCCATGACACAGCCTCTAATATCAGCACTGGGAGAGACAGACAGTCAGGCGGGTCTCTGAGCTCTAGGTCAGCCTGGTCTACGTAGTGAGACAAAGAGATAGCACTGAAGGGAGACAATATCAAAAGAAAAACTGTGATAAAGTATTCTTGTAGCAATTTGAAAGACACATTTTCCGTGTGTGTCAATCACATGACTTACTAGATCTCTGAAACTTCCCCGTCCTGTGTTTACTGGAAGACCAGCCCCTTTGGGAAACTCCACTCATCTGCCCCTCTCATAAGCAGCATCTTAGCTTTGTTCCTGTGAGCTCTGCTTATTTGAGCTGTGCGTCATCCTCCTGTGCCCGGGTTGTGTCACTCAGCATGACGTCCTATAGTTTGGTTCATGCTGTCAGTGACAGGATTGGCTTCTTTTCTAAGGCTTCTTACTTGGGTGTAGACCATATTTTACTGATTTACCTATCTGCCAATGGGCATTTAAATTAGATTGAGTTCGTGTCTTAGCTTGAATAAAGTTCTGTGAACACGTCTTGTCATGTTTCTATGAAGGATTCAATAATGCTGGAAGGACTAGCCTCTAGCTGCTCAGGAACTGAGGGAGCCATACAGTTGGTGGACTAATCATTCGATTGACTTTTCTATCTGGGAGAGCAAAACTTAATTCTCTGGGCCTGGTGAGTGGGACAAAACTTAATTCTCTGGGACTGGTAAGCGGGGCAAAATTTAATTCTTGCTGGGTCGTTTAATCCCAGCACTTGGGAGGCAGAGGCAGGCAGATTTCTGTGAGTTCGATCCAGCCTGGTCTACAACAGTTAGTTCTAGGACAGGCTACAGAGCTACAGAGAACCCCTGTCTTGAAAAACAAAACAAAACAAAACAACAACAAAAAACCTTAATTCTCTGGGGCCAGTGAAAAAGGGAAACACACACACACCTCCAACATGTCAGGTTCTGACCTCGGGTGCTGATGAAGGGCAGGCCTTCTGCAGGCCAGAAAAGTGATGAGGGGACGCAGAGCAGGTACACCACTGGGCAGACAGACAGACACATGAGGACTCTCTGAGGACCATTTTACTATTATTTCTGTTGCTTGTTCTACTCTATTTTCCTGTTCTGTTCGTCTACCCTAGTGTTTCCCTTCTATTTCCTGATGATGTCTCCGTCTCACAACTTCCTGATGTCTTCCTTCTCATTTCTTCATTTTGTTCCTTACAGCTTTGTACCCAGCAAAATCTTTCAAGCAATAGAAGAATTACAATATGGTTACCTTCATTTTTTAAGTGATAATTATAATGAATACAAGTTAAAAAAAATCATGTTTCGGGGGCTGGAGAGATGGCTCAGAGGTTAAGAGCATTGCCTGCTCTTCCAAAGGTCCTGAGTTCAATTCCCAGCAACCACATGGTGGCTCACAACCATCTGTAATGAGATCTGGTGCCTTCTTCTGGGCTGCAGGCATACACACAGACAGAATATTGTATATATAATAAATAAATAAATTTTTTTTAGAAAAAAATCATGTTTCCCATTTCCCGTACATGATAAACCATTTTTTGTATTACAGGTAGAAAACAAGTTATCCCCAAGAACCCACACACAGTTAAACATTTATGTTTTAGACTTCTCATAGATTAGGAGCCTTTCAGCCATACATGGCTTTTTGTTGTCATTTTTGTTTTTTGTTGTTGTTTTTGAGACAAGGTTTCTCTGTAGCTTTGGGGGCCATTCTCAGAACTAGCTTTTGTAGACCAGGCTGGTCTGGAACTCACAGAGATCCACCTGCCTCTGCCTCCCAAGTGCTGGTATTAAAAGTGTGTGCCACCACTGCCCGGCTTTACATGGGTTTATATAATTGCTAGAAAAACAGGTTACTAGTTTCAATTTTCATAGAGTTTAGTCCAATAATTTTTTTTTTTTTGATTTTTTGAGACAGGGTTTCACTGTGGCTTTGGAGCCTGTCCTGGAACTAGCTCTTGTAGACCAGGCTGGCCTCAAATTCACAGAGATCCACCTGCCTCTGCCTCCCAAGTGCTGGGATTAAAGGTGTGCACCACCACCACCCGGCTCAGTCCAATTATATTAACTAACCATTCAATTCTTTGTTTTCTAGTTACATGGAGGCAATTGTTTAAAGCTTTTTTTTAAGCTACTATGCTTATACACCAAAACCCATGAACACATTCCCCAATATCAAAAAGAACTTATGCTATCTCCTGGGACTTGAATCTTTTTTCTCCTTAATCATTAACCTAACTCAGTCTATACAGCTCCTCCAGAAACTCATTAAGTCCTAGCTATGTAATAGTTCTTTGGTTCTATTTTTTTCTTCTCTGCAGCCTTGCTTTATCATGGGTAGGGGCAACACTACATCTTACCTTTATCTATATTAATTTTCCCACTAAACTAACCTCTATCATAATCCTTTCCTACATTTGTTAAAAATCCTTAGTCATCGGAATCTATTTAAACTAACACTGTTGTATAAAATCATCACTTCAGTTAAATAGTATAGCTTAAGAGGAAATTATCTTCATAATAATTCACAGGTAAAAATGCCCAGTAGAACAGGTTGTTTCCTTGAGATAATCACATTCCATTAAAGGTCGTGGGGATTCCCCAACACCTATTCATAACATGCCAGATACCACAGAAAAATGACAGTGCCAAACATGAAAAGGCTCGGTAATAGCAAGAGACATTTTGGAGCTGAAGCCCTCAAGGCTTTGCCTATTTGAGATGTTCCTATCATTGCCTTGTGTCTGGTGGGCCAAACTCCTGAAGCTCAAGTGCCACCTGCTGCTCCTCTGACATGGCCACAGACACATCAAAAAATGCTTTTTGTAATTCCTAGTAATCTGGTTTGCCTTCCAGATAGATAAGAATTAACTTTTTCCTTCTCTTCTTTGTCTTTTTTTTTTTTTTTTTTAGACTAGGTTTTACTATGCAGCCTGGCTGTCAAGGACCTCCCTCTATAGACAAAGTAGTAATGAATTTACAGACATCTCCCTGCTCTCTTGCTCTGCCTCCCAGGTACTGGGACTAAGGCACGTGCTGCTGTGACCATCAAGACTGCCTTGTTTAAACCTCATTCCTGAGCCAAGTGGGGAGTCTCCTTCATGCTAGTTTGTTTTCCTTAGCTTCCCAAGACAACATCATCATGCTCAGATCCTGACTAGATGTGGCATGTTTGTGTTATAGCTTGTTTATAAGGTCAAATCAAATGATATTTTGGAGAAACTGGCTTTGATTTCTTCGGACACCAGTGAGCAGACCATATGGCAGCAGCTTGTAGAAGAAGCTAAAGAAAATCTCTGCAAAATCCAGGTGTGTTTTCCCATCATCAGGTAGAGTTTTCAGGTCGATGTGTTGCGTAGCATTATTCAGTTGCCTTTGTCTGGCATGTTTGAAACAGGATGATGACTTCGTGGTGAATTTCTGCCTCAAGGCCCAGTGGATCACCTATGAGACCACCCAGGAAATGCTCAGTTATGCCAAAGCCAGGGTAGGTGGTTTTCCTTTTGGAAAATTTTGCTTTAATTGTGTGTGATAATTCTCTCAGCTCAAATATATTTTCTTGTCTTTCAGGTTTTGATTTTCTTCTTTAAATGTCTCTTTTTTCTTACCTTAAGTTTCCACATGAGACACAGTTTACCTATGTCAGCTTCAAGGTTCCTAGTGTACTCGCTGAACTGTGTACATCTATCAACACAGATGTTCTAGAGCTCTAGAGACCTGTGTGGTTTCTTTCTGGACCCTCCCCACCACCCCGATAACTATTCATTTACTTACTTTTTCTACTTAGTGTGAATTCTGGATATTTATTATCTATTTATCTATCTAGGTTTTTCATGACAAGTTTTTGTATGTATACCTGGCTGGCCTAGATTCACTCTGTAGACCTGGCTGGCCTTAAACTCAGACATCTGCCTCCCAAGTGCAGGGATTAAAGGTGTTTGTGCACCACCACTGCCCAAGTTGGGCAATTTTCATATGCATTATTTTTAGCAACATCTCTTTAAGGTTTATTTTCATTTTATTTTAATTTATTTATTTGTTTATTTATATATATAGTATTCTGCCTGTATATATGCTTGCAGGCCAGAGTAGGGCACCAGATCTCATCACAGATGGTTGTGAGCCACCATGTCGTTGCTGGGAATTGAACTCAAGACCTTTGGAAGAGCAGGCAGTGCTCTTAACCTCTGAGCCATCTCTCCAGCCCCTATTTTCATTTTATTTATGTTTGAGACAGGATCTCACTTTTCTAGCCTTGGCTGTGTGGACCAGGCTGACCTTGAGCTCAGAGACTTGTTTGACTTTATATCCCAGTACTAGGATTCAAAGTGTGAATCAACACCCCCAGCTCTTTTTATTATTTTTAATTATGTGTGTTTCTGTGCATGTCAATGTAGATTCCATCTGAGGCAAGAAAAGATCCTCTGGGTACTGAACCAAGTTGGAGTACTCAGAAAGAATAGTACATGCTTTTAACTGCTGAGTCCCATAAATAATTTTTTATTGTTTAATACCATTGCATAGAATAGACTACTTTCATTTTGGTCTTAAATACAACTTACTTTCAAAGATAATATTGTCTGTCAAGTCACAGAAAGTTACCTTCTTTATGAAGAGTTGCCTGTTTCCCTGTGTTTCTTTTCCTTTTTTTTTTTTCACCTATATACCATGTAGTTTGACGAGGTCCATCCCCAGTACAGTTCTGTCTTAACGTGTCCTCTTTGTCTCCATCCATGCTTAGCTCCTAAAGAAAGAAGACAAAACCCTGCCTACCTATTCTGACGGCCTCATGGAGGTAATGGCATTGCTCTGGTGGTTAATTCGTGGGTGAAGATGTTTTTCTTTTCAAGGCAGATTGAGTGACTGTTCAGTACCTCAACTTCCTTAGGAACAAATTGGGGCTCCAAGTAAGGTGGTGGGTTTGGAGTCAAAGCAAATAATCCCTGTAAAGCATTTCTGTCTAGCCCCTAGTAGCTGCAAATGCTCAATATGGGCATGCATTCGAGCATGCATGCATTTGATCTCCCAAAATAAGGCAGACAACATTGCTCAGTGGGTCAAAGTGCTTGAGACCCACAAACTAGAAGGACAGAACCAACTCCTACAGATTGTCCTCTCTTCCCTGCTTGCTGTGGTACATACACCCACTTCCCCCTCAACACACACAGACAGTATAATAAACGTTAAAAACTATTAAATTCTCAAAATAAGTATTTAATATAATCCAGCTAAGTGATGCCTTAAATGTAAATGATTAAGTGAGAAACCCCACCCACACTGTATATGCGTTTGCCTTTATAATGAACTGTGACTCGAAATGTCCTCCTTATTTTGTGGGTGATATGTAAAATAATAAAGTTGTGTGGGTGGGAATTGAGCCATAGCGTGAGTTAAAATGACAGTGTATAGTGGGCTTCTGTAGCAGCCTTATTTATAGCATTTAAAACTTTTAATTTCAATATCATCACTATGTGTGCATATGTGAGCGTGTCCATGCGTATGTGTGTGTGTGTGTTTGCATGAATACACGTGCAGTAGCATGCATATGGACAACTTTGTCGATTCATTTCTCCTATATTTAAGGGGGTTCCAGGGATTGAACTCAGGTTACCAGGCTTACATAGCAAGTGCCTTTTGACAAGCCATCTTACCAGCCCACATACATTATTAAAATTATCAAATTATTCTTTTCTTTAGGTGCTAAAGGCTCATTCAAAATTAACAACATTTTATGGAGCATTTGGACCAGAGAAATTCAGGTGTGTGCATTCTATTTTTATTTTGGTTGTTTATTTTTGGTTTTTCAAGACAGTTTCTCTGTAGCTATGGAGCCTGTCTTGAAATTGTAGACCAGGCTGGCCTCAAACTCATGGAGATCCACCTGCCTCAGCCTCCTGAGTGCTGGGATTAAAGGCTTGCGCCACCACTGCCTAGCATGACTCTTAATTTAATGACTTGTTATTCAAAATTTGTTTCATTGGGATTTTTTGTTTGTTTTCCATAAGAAATTCTTTCTTTTACAGGGTCTCCTATAAGCTGGCCTAAAACTTTCTCTGTAGCTGAGGGTGGCTCAATTCTTTTGCCTTTTTTTTTAAGTTTTATTTATAAAACTGTTTTGTTTTGTCTGCATGTATGTCTGTGTGATGGTGTCAGATCCCCTGGAACTGGAGTTATAGACAGTTAGGAACCACTATGTGGGTGCTGGGAATTAAACTTGGGTCCTCTGGAAGACTAGCCATTGCTCTTAACCACTGAGCTATCTCTCCAGGTTGTTTATGTTGTGATTATCTGATCTGGGTTCCTACGTGGAGAGTCACTGTCGTTCGTGAGGGTGACAGGAGTTCTCTAGATTTGGGGAGGAAACTTACTTTGTGCTGTGGAATTTTTAGATCTGTTTTGATTTTTTACTAATTTTTTTTTAATTAAAAAATAAGGTGGTGAGATTGCTCATTGATGAATTACACTTATTCCTGTAGAGAACCTGGGTTTGGTTCCCAGCACCCACATAGTGGCTCTTAATAATTCAAAGCTCCAATTCCAGGGAATCAGACTCCCTTCTCTGACCTCCAAGTGCACCACACACATTAGTGGATACATATATGCAGGCAAAACATTCATACACATGAAATAAAATAATTTAAAAATGGGAAGTAGTTAGAGCCAGCAAGATGATCAAGGCACTTGCCAAGTGTGTCTGCTTGAATTCAATCCCTAAGGCCCACAGGATGAGGGAGAGAATCAATTCCTGCATATTGTCCTCTGACCTCTACATGTGTGCCTAGTACACTTACCCCAACTAAGTAATAAATGTTCAAAACAAGTGGTTAAGATGTATAATGCTACCTATTATGGAAAGACCGTTCTACACTCCTGACTTGCCTCTTCCCTCTGATTTCTCAGTGGTAGCTCTTGGATTGAATTTCTGAATAATGAAGATGTTCTCAGAGATATTTTTATGCAGCTAAGGGAAGGAAACCTTGTTTGTGCTCAGTATCTTTGGCTTAGATATCGGGTAATGTATTCTGCATTTTAATTTCTTGATTGCTTTGTAGCTTCTGCAATGGATGGTTGAGTACTGGAGACTAGCAGGCTGTCAAGTGTGACTGGGTAGTAGAGTGTTGTAGATTGATAGTCTCTGGCCTGTCCCGGGAGATCTCTCCAGATCAGAGACATGCTATGGTATGATGGCAAGCCATATTTTATCTATCTTCAGAGTCTGATCAGCTCTGAGTTGTTCCTCAGTAAGCAGTATTTTTATTAAGTGCTTTATTAATATCATGCTTCTGCCGATATGGTAAAGACGTTTCTACTATTTGGATTGTGGTCAAGGAATGCTCATTAAAGGTGTTTATTTGAGGACGATGTGCAGTAGCACATATCTGTAGGCTGAAGGAGGAGGATTACTTAGTCTAGGAGTTTCAGGCCAGACTGAACCTGAAACTATGTATAGACCCCATCTCATCCACAGATAGATAGGCTATTTATCCAAATCCCCTTTTGTTGACTGATATTAACATATAATATTTAGACTGAAAAGGTAGTGTGTTTTGCCACTAATGGAAATTCTTATTAGTATTTGTATTATTATCTCCAGTTGTATTTTTCTTAGGATACAATCTCTTTGGTTTCCTTGTGTTTTTATTATCTACTACTTACTAATATAATATTTAATGAGTTGTGAACCCCCCATTTGAATTGTTTGTATAAAGTACCTTTATCATTCATTATTAAATCAGTAATATCACCAGACAGCAGTGGCACATACCTTTAACCCCAACACTCAGAAGGCAGAGGCAGAAGGCTCTCCGAGTTCGAGACCAGCCTGGTGTACAGAGTGAGTTACAGGACAGGCAGGCCTACACAGATGAACCCTATCTCAAACAAATGAACAAAAAAATCAGTAGTATGTTCTTTGAAATGGCTTTACAATTTTTTAAGAAAATAATTTGCTTCAGTTAGCATGCAAAGTGATGGGTTTTGTCAAGGCATTTTCATGCATCTATGTCCTTGTTTTTATTTGTCCTCAAGGATCAAGCAGGTCTTTGCCCTTTGGGGGGTATTTGTTTAAATCTGTCAGCAAGTCTTAATTTCTGATTTTGTGATTTAGGCTGACTTTGAAAGCAAGTTTGACGTGAAAATGCTGGAGAACTTGCTGAACTCTATTTCTACACAAGTCTCCTTGGAAGAACTTTGTTCGTGGTTTAAAGATGATGTGATCCCATTTGTGAGAAGGATTGTGCCTGAAGGACAAGTGAGTTTCTTCTATTTCCACCCTTAAAGATTTAGCTTAATACTTCATATTAGATTACTGAGGAACCCCTGTGAAAAGTTGATAGAGCTGGATGTAGTGGTGTGCACTTCTGACCTCTACCCTTTAGAAGCTGCAGTAGAAGGACTGCTAGGAATTTGAGTCTAGTCTACATAGCAACTACATAGCAGGTTCCAGGCCAGCATGGGCTACAAAGTGTGGCCCTGACTCAAAAAGAAGCAAAAATGGTGGTGGTGGTGCTGGTAGAATACTGATTAACATGCTAGCATGCTTGAGGTCTTGGGTTCAGTGTCCAGCTGTGTAACTGATAAATAACTTATAAGAGATGACTATAGGTTTGGAGAGATGGCTCAGTGCTTAAGACTCAAGAGCACATTCTACTCTTTCAGAAGACCTGGGTTTAGTTGTCAGTACTAACATTTTATGCCTCACAATCACCTGCAAGTCCAGCTCCAGAGCTCTGATGCCCTCTACCTCAGCCACACACATGCACTCACATACATTTTTGAAAAATTCTTTTTTTTTTTTTTTTTTTTTTTTGTTTGGTTTTGGTTTTGGTTTTTCGAGACAGGGTTTCTCTTTGGCTTTGGAGCTTGTCCTGGAACTACCTCTTGTAAACCAGGTTGTCCTCAAACTCACAGAGATCCGCCTGCCTCTGCCTCCCGAGTAAAGGCGTGTACCACCACCAACAGGCATATATTTTTTTTAAATATTTATTTATTTTATTTATTTATTATGTATACAATATTCTGTCTGTGTGTATGCCTGCAGGCCAGAAGAGGGCACCAGACCTCATTACAGNTTTATTTTATTTATTTATTATGTATACAATATTCTGTCTGTGTGTATGCCTGCAGGCCAGAAGAGGGCACCAGACCTCATTACAGATGGTTGTGAGCCACCATGTGGTTGCTGGGAATTGAACTCAGGACCCTTGGAAGAGCAGGCAATGCTCTTTACCACTGAGCCATCTCTCCAGCCCCCCAGGCATATATTTTTAAAATATTCTTAAAAACTGATTATAGAAAATTTTGTGGGTGTGATGATTTATTGACAGTTTCATTTTTAAGTGATATATCTGTTTCAGAACATTCTTGCAAAATGGTTGGAACAAGCATCCAGGAACTTAGAGTTGATTGATAAGGTAATATTTGTGTATTAAACATGAAAATGATATTTGCTCCCTTACAGCAGCTCCAAACTTGATTTTTAATGGTCTTTTATATTTTTAAAAGGCAAACTGGCCGGAAAATGGACTTCAGCTAGCAGAGGTGTTCTTCACAGCTGAAAAGACAGAGAAAGTTGGATTTGCATCTTCTTGGCTCTGGATTTCCTTGGTATGTTGTCGAGACAAATTTCATGGTGAAATCATGGCAGAGGATTTGCCTGTGTGTAGAAAAGCATGTCATTGTGTCAGCTCACTGAAGGGAAAATCCTTTCTTCCTTTCTGTTGTTTCTATTGCAACTGCAGCCTGTTTCAGTGCAGTCCGTCGACACCGAGCCAGCCAGAATAGAAATATGTAAAGACATTCTTAGTGATAGAATTGGGATTTTTTTTTTTTCAGAAGCAGCGTCTTAGAATCCTTTAAAAGACTAAAAATGGCGGATAAGAATGGGTCTGTAGCAGTTGTATCTGCTTCTTTTACTTTTTTTTAAATCAGGAAGCCTTCTGATGTAGAAAAAATGGGACCTCCTGTCAATCTGAAAAAGTAGTAGTGGGTTGTAGATGTGGCCTTTATCTCCTGGATGAGGCTCTGAGTTTTCTCTGGGCATCACAACACTAAAAAGCACAGCCAGAGAAGAATCACGATTAGAAATGTAGTTCTAGAGGTGAGCTGCATTATTATTGGGTTGGGTGCTTCTAAATTTCTAATTTCTTTTTTGAGGTTTCTCAAACAATAAAGCATGAATTATAGTAGGAAATGTGTACAATAAAATCTCTCTTGTAAAGTTTTTTTTTTTTTATAATTCTTTTTTTTTTTTTGGTTTTTCGAGACAGGGTTTCTCTGTGGTTTTGGAGCCTGTCCTGGAACTAGCTCTGCAGACCAGGCTGGTCTCGAACTCACAGAGATCCGCCTGTCTCTGCCTCCCGAGTGCTGGGATTAAAGGCATGCGCTACCACCGCCCGGCCAGTTTTCTGTACTTTAGTGTTGATTGAGTTTTCTGTCCTGCCCGGTTCCCATAATTGTTAAGTCCCAAAGAAATCATACAGAGGTCTACATTAGTTATAAACTGATTGGCCCATTAGCTCAGGTTTCTTATTAACTTTTTAAAAAATTATTTATTTATTTGTCTACAGTGTTCTGCCTGCATGTATGACTGCAGGCCAGAAGAGGGCACAAGATCTCATTATAGATGGTTGTGAGCTGACATGTGGGTGCTGGGAATTGAATTCAGGATCTTTGGAAGATCAGGCAGTGCTCTTGACCTCTGAGCCATCTCTCCAGCCCCCCTTATTAATTCTTATAACTTATAGTCCATTATTCTAGCCTACGTTAGCCACATGGCTCAGTACCTTATTCAGTGAGGCAGTCACATCTTGCTTCTTCTATGGCTGGGTCAGGATTGCAGACTAGGACTTCCTTCTTCCCCAAATTCTCCTGTTCTCCTTGACCCACTTCTACTTCCTGTCTGGTTGTCCCTCCTATACTTCCTGCCTGGCTATTGGCCAATCAGTGTTTATTTAAAATATAATTGACAGAATACAGACCATTGTCCCACACCACTTTAGCCCCAGACAAAAGTGACTTTTTTTATGTATTATGATGGCTAACTCCTAGCTTGATTGGCATAGTGCTTGTTAAACATTCCTGGGTGGGTCCCAAGCACCATATAAACTGGGTACATTGGTGCATACCTGTGATCTCAGGGTGTGGGAGATACCAGCAGAAGGCTCAGAAATTCAAAGATATCCTTGGCTATGTATCTTGTTCAAGGCCAGCCTGTACCATATGTGATCCTCTCTCAGAGACAGAGAGGGAGAGAGTTTATATTTGGGTTTTGAAACAATTGCCCTCCTGTTGGCAATTTTCAAATTTTTCTAAAGAAGTAAATTTTAGATTCTGGTTTCCTCCTCTGTCTACTTGTGGCCAGTACTTATTTTTTTTGAAATAGGTTGGACTGTGTTTCTCAATCATACTTTTGTATCCTTAATGAAGTTAATGCTTTTGTTTTAGAAAGAATATCAAAACACAGAGGAAGTCCGACAGTTACAGATACTAGTGAACAAGTTGCAGGAGCTGATCACCCTGCATAAGAAATACAACTGCAAACTGGCCCTCTCTGAGTTTGAGAAGGTAGAGTTCCACACTCTGCAGCACCCTCTTGTTTTTTTGTATCCACTTGTGGCTAGACTCTGCATCATTTACACTGTCTTCCCTGTCTTGTCTCCAGGAAAATACGACCACCATAGTGTTCCGGATGTTTGACAGGGTCTCAGCGCCAGAGCTGATCCCCTCTGTCCTTGAGAAGTCTGTGAGAGTTTACATGCGGGAACACAGTTTGCAAGAGGAAGAGCTTCTTTTGCTTTATATAGAGGTGATTTTTTTTTAACTTTTTAAGTATTCATTTCTTAGTGTGTGTCTGTGTACTCAAAGACATGGTGCATGTGTGAAGGTCAAGAACAACATAGGAGACTCAGTTCTCTCCTTCCTCCACATGGGTCCTGGCCATCTAATTCAGGTCACACGTGCCTTTATCTGTTTCTGAATTCTGTGCGGTACTTGATCATGTAAATGCTTGACTCTGTAAGGAATGCCTGGCTTTACCACTAGCACCTATGAGGCAGCTGAATTGATCAAGAATGTAAGCTAATTCTACTATTAACCATCAGAGAACCTCCTGCTTATTAGAGAGACTGAAATGGGAGTGTCACTATAGGCCACAAGTTCGAAACCAGCTAGGCAGCATAATGAGGTCCCATCTCAAAAAGAAAAAGAAAACAGTAGGACTTTCCCCAGAGGACTAGTGTGAGGTATTAGGAGTAGAAACTCAATACATACTGGGCTCGAACAGGAGAAGGTGCTAAGGATCAGGCCTCCGGAGTCCACGCTTGGTCGGTCTCATTAAAAGTGTGCGCCACCACATGCAAACTGAGAGTTTCTGATATTTGAAAACATGTATGTTTGTCTTTCCTAGGATTTACTAAAGAGGTGTAGCTCAAAGTCAGCGACACTCTTTGACACAGCATGGGAAGCGAAGGCCATGGCAGTGATAGGATGCTTGACTGACACAGACGTAAGCAAACACTGACTGTTGGGTTTTCCTGTTTGGAGTAACAAGGTTCCTTTTGAACATTGACTCTTAAGCTATTTTTTGGTCATAAAAGTGACAAGTATTTGTTAGTGAAATTTTTTTGTAGAATGTAAAAACAAAAAGATAAAACCATACTATTTCCCTTGATTATGGAGAATAAGATGAAAATGCACCCAAAACCAAAAGAATTTCTGTGGTCTATTGGATACCTCTCTCTTCAGGACCTGGGATTTTTCAGAAATGAAACTCTTTGGTGCCGAGCTTTCCAGCCATCTCCCACTGTCATTAGTTCTCATTATAAGGCAGGGACTCGTGTGCTCATAGTCCCAGCCCAGGGTGGTAAGTCATGTATGAAGCCTGGGCTTGGGAGAGCAATAAAAGATAGGTAAGCAATTATTTAAAATATAAGAGCAGCCCTGATTGACTATGGTTTAGAGAGAGAAGACATGAAGTTAAGATCCTTGTGAGTTGGGGGGGAGGGGGTTGGAGGAGGTAAATGGGTTGGACGTGACCAAAATACATTGTATGTATGCATAAAATTCTCAAAAACTGAGGTACGTTTCTGAATAACAGGACTGCTAGGTTTTGTTTTGTTTTGTTTTTAGGTTTATTTATTTTATTTTGTGTATTAATGGTCTGTTTTGTGTACTGTATCTGTGCCTGTTGTCTGTTGAAGTAAGACAAGGGTGTTGGATCTTCTGGAACTGGAGTTAACAGGTGGTTGTGAGCTACCTGATTGGGCTCTGGAAACTGAACTCAGGTCCTCTGCAGGGGACACAAGTACTCTTATCCTCTGAGCCGTCTCTCCAGCCTCTGAAATTGTTCCTTGTGTGTAACAATTGAAGGAAATATATGTTTTGCATGTGGATGCTCTCACTCTACCCATACCTGATGTCTGCAGTGCCCATCCCTTACATGAGAGGTGCGTCCGAGAAGTGGTCATTGTTCCTGTTGACTGCTCTCTTTGTAGCTCATCTTTGACGCTGTGCTGAAGATAATGTACAAGGCGGTGGTTCCCTGGAGTGCAGCCGTGGAGCAGCTGGTGAAACAGCACCTGGAAATGAACCACCCCAAGTAAGTTTGCAGAACACTAAAGGACGTGTCCGTGCCCTGCACCAGCTTCATGCTTTGAGTTGGCAAGCAGTTAGGTTTACCCTTGACTGTTTTTCATAGTCATATTAATACCAGTTTGTTAATAAACATTTTGTTTAGGGTCAAATTATTGCAGGAAAGTTACAAACTAATGGAGATGAAGAAACTTTTGCGAGGCTATGGAGTACGAGAGGTGAATCTCTTGAACAAGGAAATAATGGTAAGCGCTAGTTGGTTTGTTCCTCTCTGTTCTTGTAATTCTAGAGCAGCACGGGAAGTGACTGAAGATTTTCTCTTTCTTTCTTTCTTTCTTTCTTTCTTTCTTTCTTTCTTTCTTTCTTTTTTTTTTTTTCGAGACAGGGTTTCTCTGTAGCTTTGGAGCCTGTCCCGGAACTAGCTCTTGTAGACCAGGCTGGCCTCAAACTCACAGAGATCCGCCTGCCTCTGCCTCCCGAGTGCTGGGATTAAAGGCGTGCGCCACCACCGCCCTACTTTTTTTATTTATTATGTATACAACATTCCTTCTCTGTATGCTTGCATGCCAGAAGAGGGCACCAGATCTCATTATAGATGGCTGTGACCTGGGAATTGAACTCAGGACCTCTGGAAGAGCAGTCAGTGCTCTTAACCTCTGAGCCATCTCTCCAGCCCCTAGCCCTACTTTTTTTAAAGTCTTAAAAAGCAAAGTCTTCAAAGGGCCGGGCATGTATCTCAGTAATAGAGCACTTGCCTAGCACGCACAATGTCCTAGATTTGAAACCCTGTCTCTAAAAACAAAACAAAACAAAAAAAGATTTTCATATCTAAGAAGTTAACAGAGCTAGATTTATTTTATGGGAGTGGGTCACATGTGTGCCATGAAAACTCAGAGCAATTGGTTCTCTTTCTAGCATGTAGGTTTTATAGAGTGAACCAGGCTCTCTGACTTGGCAGCAAGTCCTTTCCCCACTGACCTATCTTGCTGGCCCCATAAATCATGTTTTAACCTTAGGTCCAGTTTAGGTTTTTTGCTACACTTTAATAATATTTAAGGCATTTTGCTTTCATAAGCAAATGGTTTCTGAGTTTTATGAGTCTTCATCTTAAGAAATACATGTTATCTCTTTCAGAGGGTGGTCCGATACATTCTCAAGCAAGATATCCCATCTTCTTTGGAAGATGCTCTGAAAGTGGCCCAGGGATACAGGCTGTCTGATGATGAAATCTACAGTCTAAGAATTATTGATCTGATTGACAGAGAACAGGTTTGGAAGTTTTAGATTGTCATGGGGCTGCTTTGTTGACTAAATCTTTACAGAATCTAAACTGTCCAAACTACTTTCACAAAATGAAATAAATAAGCTATATCAACATGAAAACATAGTGTGTGTGTGTGTGTGTGTAATATTTTTCTTGGTTTTCCTACGCAGGGTTTCTCAGTAGCTTTGGAGCCTGTCCTAGAGCTCACTCTGTAGACCAGTCTAGCCTCAGAGTCAGAGATTCACCTGCCTCTGCCTCCTGAGTGCTGGGATTAAAGGTGTGCACCACCACTAAGGGTTAGGGTTAGGATAAGGGTTAGGGTTACTGCTCAGCTCCAGCCCTCAGATTTTTAAAAATATTTAATCTTTTTTTTTTTTCAAAGTATCTTTTCATCTTGTTTCCCATTCTGCTAATTGAGTCCACGTCCTCACACTGGACAGTGCAGATGAAAAATTTCTTCTCACTTTCAAGTAGAAAAGAAAGAGTGATATACAAACTATTCCTTGTGAGGACCAGATGTTTATTTCCTTTTTTATTAACCCTGTTCACAGGCAGATGACTGCCTCCTGCTACTGAGGTCGCTGCCTCCTGTTGAAGCTGAAAAAACTGCAGAAAGAGTCATCATTTGGGCTCGACTGGCATTGCAAGAAGAGCCAGACAGTTCTGAAGAGGTGAGGGTTTCACTGAGATGTGCTGTTGGTGCACACTTGGAAATCTGCAAGGGAGGTAGGACAAGAACCTTGAATTCCAGTCCATTATAAGTCCTTGTTTCAAAAGAACTCATTGTGGCTGGAGAGGTGGCTCAGAGGTTAAGAGCACTGATTGGTCTTCCAGAGTTCAGTTCCCAGGAACCACATGGTGGCTCACAACCAACTGTAATGAGATCTGGTGCCCTCTTCTGGTGTAGAGACATACATGCAGGCAGGACACTGCATACAAAATCAATCAATCAATCAATCTGAAAATAAAAAGTCATTGAAGCTGAGCATGCCCTCAGTAGAGCCAGTCATTTCTTTAGCGATAAGAGACCAAGGGTCACAGGGTGTGTGACATATGGCTTCACCGTCAGGCAGAGGTCACCGGCCTGCTCGTTTCCAGTGAGTTCCAAACCAGCCTTGACTACATAGTAAGACCCTTCCCCTGCCCTCATCTCCACAAAAAAATTTACCAGAATAGTTGGATTTAAGCCTTAAGAAATGCCTCCCAGCTTTAAATTAATTGTCTCCTTCTTTTTCACATAAAGTTGGTAAGTAGATCCTATTGTAGATTGAATGTAGAACATGAACTTTTAATTGACTTTATTAAAAAGTAGCAGAGCCTCAACTCAAACCTGTTTTGTTCTGCCACTGGTATTCTATGTGTGTGGTTCTGGTGAGTGCAGTGTCTGCAATGTCCTCTGTTACTGACTGACTCTCCATCCCACATCCCTTTTTGTCTTTCAGTCATTTTTTTTTCTTCTCTGTGTTGTTAATTCTTCTAAAGTAATTGCTGAAAGCCTAAATATTTACTCATCCTGATTACCTAGTTATTTATTAGCCTTATGCTGTTTTTACTGGAGAAAGTTTGCAAGGCTTTAGTGTGACTCAACAAGAAAGGTCTGCCAGTTACAGCGTAGCCGGGAGACTCTGGGTCAGCACATCTTTCCTGGTATTTCTGAAGTCCATATTGGTGCGTCTCCTTCGCCTTGCAGCCGCCTGACCAGAGCTATATATATTCCTCAATCACTTGTTTTATTATTTTTCTGATTCCTTGGTTGGTTATTTGTTTGCTACTTTTATATTGTTTTGTTTTGGTTCTTTGGTAGTACTGAGGATGAAATTCATGCCGAAGGTGTGCTAGGACATCCTCTCTCGTTATTCCCCAGCCCGTGAGGCCATGGTTGTTATGTGTGTTTTATGTGTCCAACTGAAGTGATCAGTAAAGAAGTAGACTTCACTTTGCACGTTTTAGGACAAGGCCTGGAGAATATCTGTGACGAAGACATCGGTGGATATTCTCAAAATCCTGTGTGATATCCAGAAAGGTAGTTTCCCTACCCCTTTGTTCCTCTGCTTGGTTTTTGTCCCAAAGCTTACCAAGGCTGTGGTTGTCTAATTTTACCCATTTTTCCATATGAAAAATTTAATCTTTTTGTTTTTAATTAGTCAGACAGCAGCATATAAAGTTGACTTACTTTCTGTTTACCTGTTTTGGTAAGCTTTCGTTGTTAAGATACCTTGTGTATCTGTTGGCGATAAGAAAGAGAAATCTCACCTATTTAAACGTGGACTTAAAACAGTTGAGAAAGTAACACTCTTGGAGGAGAGGGGCTAAATTTGTTTCAGAAGACTTGCCATTCTTTTTATTTTATTATTTTTAATTGTGTGTATATGTGTCTTTTGTGTGGGTATGTGTGTGTGTTCATATTGACCAAGAACTTAGACCCTTGGAGTTGGCATTACAGGTGATTGTGAGCTATCTGCTGTGTGTGCTGGGAATTGAACTCTGGTCCTCTGGAAGAGCAGGGCATGCTCTTAACTGCTAATTCACCTTTCCAGCCCCTCCCATTTTATTATAACTCTTAAACTTCCCTATTCTACCTCCTGAAAGAAGTTTCTTTTTTCAGGTTTCACTCTTGAAATAATCTATTGATTCATAACTAGATTAACTCATTCAGATGACTTTAAGTCCGGCCTCCTGTTACCATGACATTCTGGGAGAATCAAATATAGCATATGAGAATTTGTACATCTGCTGTGACTTTTAAAAATCTAATTACAGACAATCTACAGAAGAAGGATGAATCTGAAGAGTTCTTGAAACAATTTAAAGTGATTGCAAGCTTACAGGTAAAGATATTACGTACCCAGTCAGTGTACCTGATAGTGTGTTCAGCTTTCAGGGACTGTGACACACTGATTCTTTCTCAGCAACTTTATTGAGATGTAATTCATGTATTGTACAGAATTAGTTGATAGTTTTGGTATATTATTTTCCTAGTTTCTTAATAGTATATAAAATACATATAACAAAATGATCCATTCTGATTTTCTGCCTTCATTTCCGTGGCATTAATTACATTCACAATGCTTTACAGCCATTACCTGTTTTTTTTTTTTCACACTCAGAGCTGAAAGTCTGTACCCATAAGACAGCACAACTCTCCAGAGTAGAATTATCCAAAATTAATAGTTAAGCCTCCCCTCTTTTACAATGCTTCCTACAGCACAAAATTATCTGGACCCAAATGTCAAGAGTGCTAAAATTGAGAAACCATTCTCCATAATTATGTTTTTTTATTTTCCTAACTTTTAGTGTTGAGCCATAAAAATCTTAAATTCTTAATTTATAAGTGAATAATTTCTCAAGGAGAGGGTGAAACTCAATGCTGGGTTTTAACACTGAGTAAACTTGGGGCTTTGTCTCACTTTGATGCAGGAGAACTTTGAGGTCTTCCTTCCATTTGAAGATTACAGCAACAGCACCCTGGTTGCTAGTCTTCGAGAACAGTATATTAAGGCACATGAAGATGCACAGGCTGAACCTAAACTCAGGGGACCTCCTGGGCCTACCCCAGTCAGGGGGGAGGATCTGAGCATCAGGTCAAAGCTGCACAGACAGGCACTGGCCCTACAGGTGTCTGCACAAGAGCTGGAGGAAGAACTGGCCTTGAGAGCCTTAAAGGATGGGAAGGTGGGAGCAGCACTAAGCAAATGCAGGTGACACTGGAGTCCCCGCCTTGCAGTTTGTCAGAAAATGACTTTTGTTCTGTCCTTTCCGTCACTGATAAGCATAGGGCCAGGGTTACTTTTGTTTTCACAAAAGTGATTATTGGTTTCCTGAGAGCCTGTTTTGGAGCCTCTTTGTCTAAAAATAGTGGTATGGAAGGAAGATAGACCCTGCTTAGTTGGTCACATGACTGTTAAATGTTGGCTCCTGTGCCTTGATCCTTAAGGGTAACTAAAGTCCTTTGAAAATGAATCACACTTTGTACCACGAAAAAGTTCTTTGTTGGTGTTGTTGTTGTTTTAATGGTTTTATGAGTGTTTTGATATGTATGTATGTATATATGTGTGTATGTATGTGCACCACATGCATGTTTAGTGCCCTTAGAGCTCAGAAGGCAGTGTCAGATCACCCGGGACTGGAGTTACAGATGGTTGTGAGCCACTATGCATGGGAGTGCTAAGAACGGAACCCAGATCTTTTGCAAGAGCAACAAGTACCCTTTAAGTGCTGGGCTGTCTCTCAGCCCCCATGAGAAAGCCTTGAAGACTTTATGTGTTGCTGTTAGTGGTTAGATACGAATGCAAGCGGCACAAATGTGTGTGGTTTTGATCTGAATCCTAACTCCCCACACTTCCTCCCTCTCCAGAGACTTACTTAAGTATTACTGCAATGCTGACACGGGGAGATTGCTGTTTCTGGTGTGTCAGAAGCTTTGTCATATGTTGGCTAATGATGTTCCAATGACAGCGCCAGTAGGACTAAATCTTCCTTCTGAGATACATGATCTCGCGTGCCATGCTGCTACCCTCTGCAGTACAGGTGACAAGCTGTATAGATCTTTATACTCTCTGGTTTATTGTACCCATATCTTCCACACACTGTCTGTGATAACTGCATTCTAGAAACCACACAAGAAACAGCTTCTCTTTCTTACACTAGGATACTATAGTTTTAAAACATTAACAACCAAGTTGTTCCCTTGGGTGTGTGAGAGACAGGAGGATTGTCAGCCCAAGGCTAGCCTGAGCTACCAATCTGGCAACCAGTCAGTCAATCCCCAAACCCTTTAATACTATGATTTCTTACTACTTATGGCATTTGCTTCTGTATGGTCATGGCATTCCCAGCCTCCCCACACTGATCTCTTTCAGGCAAGCTTTTTTTCTTTTTCCTTTTTTTTTTTTTTTTTTGGTAAGCTTAAGTGCAGACCTGAACTGTATTTACATTAGTCAAAGCTACATGGTGAGCTTGCTGTCTACCTTTTGGCCTTCCTGGGGATTTTAAATGGTCATTATAAGAAAGTTGTTTTCATTATTCTAAAGGAATAAGATAGGATTGATGATCCTGTTCACTTTCAGATATTTTGCTGGATGCTTTAGAACTAAGTAAATACACTTTAACCGCTGTGGAGCTCTCCAGACAATGCCAGATGGATGACCGTGGAATTCTGACGAAAGTAAGTCACCTCAGAGTTTTACTTCCATAAACCTAGCTGCTGCTGGCCCGACATGTGACACTTCATATCACTTGCACAGTTCACAGAATTACCAATATCCTGCTTACTTTTTTTTTACTCTCCTCTTGAAACCCATCCTCAAAAGCTGTGGAGCCAATTCTCTTTCCCAGGCATAGTTGTTTATTTTGATTTGAACTGGTTTTTGAAATATAGGGCCTCTCTGGATATTGACCCTTTCTTAGGGTTTATTCAAAGTGATATTTTTGCAAGGTCACCAAAAAGAAAGGAATGCTAGAATATAACTTTCCCTTAGTATGCACAGAAGAAATTGGTTCCAGTTCTGTCCCTCCCCTCAGACAACCAGGATCTGTGGATACTAAAATCCCTCATCCAAAGCTGTGTGCCATTTACAGAGAGCCCACACATATCCCCCACGCTTTCAGTTGGAAGAGCCCACCACAGGGAGCTCACAGTGGTCTGCAATTCCAGCTCCAGTTAATCCAGCACTCTGGCTTTCACATGAATACATACAGACCTCCAAATAATTAAAATTAATAAAAACATTACACCTGACTCCCTTACTCAGTCGGTGAAGGGTGTATGTGTTGCAGTGTAGCCACTGCTGCCTGCTCTGTGTGGTTTGCTGTTTAGGCCACTTTTGGGACACACAAGGATCCATATGAAGAGTGGTCCTACAGTGACTTCTTCAGTGAAGATGGAATCGTTCTTGAGTCGCAGGTGGTGCTGCCACTCATCTATGAGCTGATTTCCTCAGTGGTACCCACGGCAGGTAAGTCTCTCTTGTATCATTTCCTATTTATTTTTGCGTTACGAACACTGGAGCTATAGATGCTTGGAACCAGAACCATATCCAATAAGATAAATTTATATGTTAAGGATTCAAGCGCAACAGAATGCATACTGCATATGATTTCATTTATGTAAGAAAAAAAATGGGTTCACACTAAGCCATGGTATTCAAAGTCAGGGTAGTCGGTACCCTTTGGGATGGTGGATAAGTCACTTTCTGTTGCTGTGATAAAACATTAAGACCAAAAGCAACTTATGGTAGCCGGGGTTTACTTTGGCATACGGTTATTTTTGCCATCGAATAAAGAGTCTGGCATGGCAGCAAGTGGCAGGAATGGTAAGTTGGCCAGGCGGTGGTGGTGCACGCCTTTAATCCCAGCACTCAGGAGGCAGAGGCAGGTGGATCTCTGTGAGTTCAAGGCCAGCCTGGTCTACAAGAGCTAGTTCCAGGACAGGCTCCAAAACCACAGAGAAACCCTGTCTCGAAAAAAAAAACAAAGAGAG